TTGATCTTAGCCATTCTTACAGGTGTAAGATGGAATCTCAGAGTTGTTTTGATTTGCATTTCTCTGATGACTAAGGATGTTGAACATTTCCTTAAGTGTCTTTCAGCCATTTTAGATTCCTCTGTTGAGAGTTCTCTGTGTAGGTCTGTACTCCATTTTTTTTATTGGATTATGTGATCTTTTGGTGTCCAATTTCTTGAGTTCTTTGTATATTTTAGAGATCAGACTTCTGTCTGATGTGGGGTTAGAGAAGATATTTTCCCATTCTGTAGGCTGTCGTTTTGTTTTGTTGACTGTGTCCTTTGCTTTACAAAAGCGTCTCAGTTTCAGGAGGTCCCATTTATTGATTGTTTCTCTCAGTATCTGTGCTGCTGGTGTTATATATAGAAAGTGGTTTCCTGTGTGAATGCGTTCAAGTGTAATTCCCACTTTCTCTTTTATAAGGTTCAGTGTTGCTGGCTTTATGTTGAAGTCTTCGATCCATTTGGACTTGAGTTTTGTGAATGATGATAGATATGGGCCTGTTTTCATTTTTCTACATGTTGATATCCAGTTATGCCAGCACCACTTGTTAAATATGCTTTCTTTTTTCAATTTGATATTTTTTGCTTCTTTATCAAATATCAGGTGTTTGAAGATGTGTGGATTGATATCCGGGTCTTCTATTCAGTTCCATTGGTCCTCCTGTCTGTTCTTATGCCAGTACCAGGCTGTTTTCAGTACTGTAGCTATAATGTATTTTTTATATTTTATTTCAATTTATTTTATGTGTATTGGTGTGAAGGTGTTAGATGTCCTGGAACTGAAGTTATAGACTACTGTAACTGCTGTCATGTGGGTGCTGGGAATTGAACCCGAGTCCTCTGGAAGAGAAGGCAGTGCCCTTAACAGCTGAGCCATTTCTCCAGCCCCTATATAATATATTCTGATCACACTTACCCACTCCCTTTTCTTCCCTCACCTATGCCAAGCCCTCCGTGTTTTTGTTTTTGTAAGTCTCTTTAGCAGAGCAGTGTGGAGTGCCAGGCACTTCATTTAAATGGGATTTCCGGGGCTGGAGAGATGGCTGGTGGCCGGGAGAGCTTGCTGCTCTTGCAGAGGACATTCCCAGTATCTGCACAGGGCCATTTGCACCTTCCTGTAACCCCAGTTCTGAGGAATCCATGCCCTCTTCTGAGTGCCCTAGGCACTGCATACACTTGCTGCATGTATATATGCCGAGGTATCGATGAGCGTTATTAGTGTTTAAAAAATAGGACTGAAGGTTGCTTTCCAGGTTGCATAGAATGAGCTAGTTATTACTTGTGAAGTTCTTACAGTGGTGCCAGGCTCAGAGCTATACACTGTTTTTTGAGACATGGTTTTGTTAGCCTTGGCTGTCCTGGAACTCACTCTGTAGACTAGGATGGCCTCCAACTCACAGAGATCCATTTGTCACTGCCTCTTGAGTGCTGGGATTAAAGGCGTGCGCCACCACTGCCGGCTGACTTTAGAGTTTATTAAAGAATATTGATGGACTAGAAAGATGGCTAAGTGGTTAAGAACACTGACTCCTCTTCACTGCCCAACCATTAATTTAAAAAATTTTATGTATGGGTGTTTTGCCTGCATTATGTCTGTATACCACATGCATGTAGTGCCCAAGGAGGCTGAAAGGCAGCATCAGATCCTATGGAACTGGAGTTACAAATGCTTGTGAGCCGATATGTGGATGCTGGGAATTGAACCTGGGTCCTATTAAAGAGCATCAAATGCTTAGACATTGAGCCATCTCATCAACTGATGGTGGCACACACCTTTAAACCCAGCACTCGGGAAGCAGAGGCAGGCGGATCTCTGAGTCTGAGGCCAGCCTGGTCTACAGAGCGAATTCGAGGACAGCCAGGGCTACACAGAGAAACCCTGTCTCACAAAACCAAACCTAAACCAAACCAGTGAGGCATTTCTCTAGTTCCCCGCCACCCCCACCCCTCTTTTAATAAAGGGTCTATTGAGCCGTGGCTGGCCAGAAATTATTCTGTGGATCAGGTGGCTTCCACCCACCTATGCCTGCTTCCTCACCTAAAAGGTGTCAGCTTCACCTAACTTTCTGAGATTGTCTTCATTGGCCTGGTGGTGGTGGAGCCAGATTTGCTAGACTGCAGAGAGCCTCCAGGCACCTGCTGGTTTCTGCACCCCCCTTCCCAAAACTGGGATTGTAAACACCCATGATTCTGGGGATTAACAGTTTCTCATATTCTGTGGCCAGCACTTCACTAAGCAATTTCTCCATTTATTTAATTTTTTCCGTTTTTAAAGGTTTTTTTTTTGGACACAGGTTCTCTACAGAGCTCTGTCTTGGAACTCACTATGTGGAGCAAGCCCCACCGGTATTGAACTCACAGGGCTCTGCTGGGATTAAAGGTGTGTGTCATCTCACCCAGCCTTTTTAACTTTTGAGATGGAGTCTCATGGACTCCAGGCTGGCCTCCTAACTCACAGAGATCAAGAATAACCTTGACTCTGGGTGGAGTGCTGGGGTCAGAGGCAAGCATCACCAGGCTGGCTTTATGCACCACACAGCATCGCTCCACCCCACACGTGCTTTGCTTTACCAAAAGTGGGGCAGTGTGCAGAAACCTCCCTTCAGATGCCACGTTCCTAGGTGGCAAGGCCACGTCTGTGTGGTCCCCCGGGCAGGGCTGGACACTAAAAATAGAGCTTTTGATAGTGTTGGTTAAAGGGGAGCTTCCGCAAGTGCCCAGCATCCCAGACGGATGTACCTCTGAACAGTATCAAAGCTGACTCAGATCAGAACACCTTCTAATAATAGCAGTGCCCAAAACAGACTCTGTTATTTCTCCCTTTACAAGACTTCCCCACGGCAACACCCTGTGTCCCCAGGGCCCCGACCCTTTGGAGACAAGGTCACATACAGCCCAGGCTGGCCTGGAACTTCTGATTCTGCCTCCACCTCCAAAATACATTTGCCAACACAATTTATGCTGTGCTGGGGGTCAAACCCAGGGCTCTGTGGACAAAAGGCACCGTACCAAGTGAGCCACATCCCAGCTTCCCCATTCTGAGCCTTCAAGGATCCAAGCCGCCGGACTTGCTGAGCACCTTCCTCTCCTCTCTGAACTCAAGGCAGCAGAGCACTCAGCCGCTATCCTCAGCACCACACACAAGTTGTTAGCCTATACTCATTTATTTTAAAGGCAGTGTCTTATGTAGTCCAGGCTGGCCCCAGACTCATTATGTAGCCAAGGATAATTTTACTGAACTTCAAGATCCTCTAGCGTCCACCTTCAGAGTGTTTGTGTGTTCCACCATGCCTAGTTCTTAAAACGCTCCTCCTTTCAGTGCTGAGGGTGACTAGGGTGTGGGCATGTTGGCAGCTGCTCCACCACTGACCTACAGCTCTAGCCTGTATTCAGGTTTGACTCTGGTTTTAGCTGTGAAATGATGTTTTTTAAAAAAATGTGTTTAACTTTATTTTATGTGAACTGGTGTGAAGGTATCAGATCCCCTAGAACTGGAGTTACAGACAGTTGTAAGCTGCCTGGGGGGTGGGGGAATTGAACCCAGGTCCTTTAGGAAGTCCCAGTGCTCTTAACTGCTGAGCCATCTCTCCAGCCCCCATGAAATGATTTTTAAACCTTAAAGAATCTCAATAATTGACGAAGTGCAGATAAATCCTTAACACCTTCCAACCCATATAAAGTTAAAAATACCTTAATATGTTTCTAGAAGAAAGTTTACGGATTAAGGGGAATGTCAGCAACTGACTTATCACTAAGTTAATGTCGGGCACTAAGCCTCTAGGTACCTTTTTTTCAAAAAGATTTGTTCATTTTGTGTCTTGCCTGCATGTATGTGTGTACACGTTTGGTACCCACGGAGGGGAGAAGAGGGCATCAGATCTGAAGCTTAGAACTGTTTCTCAATAGTTGGGAACCATTGTGTGGGTGCTGGGTCCTCTGTAAGAGGAACAAGTGTTCTTAACAGCTGAGCCATCTCCCCTTTCCACTCTTGTTAAGATTTAAATAATAAGTTGATTGGTAACTTTTTTTTTTTAAAGTTTTTCAGCAGGGTTTCTGTGTAGCCCTGGTCTAAAACTCAAGAGATCCTCCTGCCTCAGCCCTGGAATGCTCGGGTTAAAGGTATGCGCCACCACCACTGGGCATTTTCAGTTGTATCACTTTGTCAAGATACTACCACTTTTTCTTTTCTTTAAAGATTTATTTATTTATTTATTATGTACAGTGTTCTGCCTGCATGAGTACCTATACTTCAGAAGAGGGCACCAGATCTCATTATAGAAGGTAGTGAGCCACCATGTGATTGCTGGGACTTGAACTCCAGCCTCTGGAAGAACAGTCAGCGCTCTTAACCGCTGAGCCATCTCTCCAGCCCCTCAAGATACTACTTCTCAGAAACTTCTTTTTCCCAAGACAGGGTTTCTCCATGTAACAGCACTGGCTGTCCTGGAACTCTTTGTAGACCAGTTGGCCTTGGATTCTGCCTCCCTAGTGCTGGAATTAAAGGTGTGCGCCACCATTGCCCAGTTTTTTGTATTTTTGAGACAGGGTTTCTTTATGTAGCCTTGACTGTTCTGAGTTTTGGGATTAAAAGCATGAGCCACCACCACCAGGCCTCAGAACTTGTTTTTTAACCTATCCTATGAAGGTAACATCAATCTCAATATCACTTATAAATATTCATTGATACAGGCCGGGCAGAGTGGTGCATCTCTTTAATTCCTGCACTAAAGAGGCAGAGGCAGGTGGATCTCTGAGTTCGAGGCCAGTTTGTTTACAGATCATGTTCCAGGACAGACAGGATGCACAGAGAAACCCTGTGTATGTGTGTGTATATGTGTGTGCATGTGAGGGGGAAGGGGGACCAAACCAACCAACCAAACGGTAACGAAACAATCAAAAAAACAGTGTGAAGTGCTGTATACGGCAGATGTCAGGTGTTTATCGTCTGGCTCACAAACATCTGGCCCTTCTGCACAGGAGCAGCTGGAGGAGATGGAGGAGAGACAGAGGCAGTTACGAAGCGGCGTGCAGGTCCAGCAGCAGAAGAACAAAGAGATGGAGCAGCTGAGGACCAGCCTCGCTGAAGAGCTTTCAACGTATAAGTCAGTTTTCTCTGCTTCCCAAGCCGCATCTACAAATGACTGATGGGGGGAGGGCTCACGGAATCTTATTTAACAAAAGAAAACAAAATCATTTGGGGAACTGACTTTCAAACAGTTGGAAAACGGCTCTCTCTTTTTAAAGGGCTATGCTACCCAAGAGTCTGGAACAGGCTGGTGCGGCTACTTCTCAGGCAGGTGGAGTCGAGGCCCAATCCCAAGGTGATCTTTGTGCACAGATGACAGGGGGATTTACTCGTCATCGTTGCTTTCCTAACAGTACTAACTAATGCCTTATTCTGGAGGGTCTTAACTGTTACCCTTGCTTGGGATCCTCTTACCTCAATCTGCGCAGTTACAGGCATGTGCCTCTGTACCTGGTTACTTAATATCCTTTTATTATTGTTTTTATTTTGGATTTTCAAAAAAGGGTTTCTCTGTGTAACTGGCTTAGCTGCTCTGGAACTTGCTTTGTATACCAGGCTGGCCTCGAACTCAGAGATCCGCCTGCCTCTCCCTCCCAAGTGCTGGGATTAAAGCCCGAGAAAGCTTTAATTTTTAATGAGACACAAAATTACATTTGGCCATTTTGCTGGGCCTCACCAATAATTTTTTTTCTTTGAGATAGGGTCTCACCTTGTAGCTTTGGTTGGCCTTCTATGTAGGCCATGTTGGCCTTGAACTCATAGAGATCCACTTTCCTCTGTCTTCCAAGTATTTGGATTAATTCCCATGATCGTCAATAGCTTTTTGTTTATTTTTCAAGATAGGGTTTCGCTGTAGCTTTGAAGCCTTCCTGAACTAGCTTTTGTAGACCAGGCTGGCCTCAAACTCAGAGATCCACCTGCCTCTGCCTCCCAAGTGCTGGGATTAAAGGCGTGCACCACCACCATTCAGTGTTAATAACTTTTATATTACAGATACATCATCTAGTGGCCCGAGATGGCTCAGCAGCTAAGAATGCTAGCTGAGAATATAGGTTTGGCTCCCAGAACTCACATGCAATCACAATGGTCTACAACTGCAGTTCTAGAGGATCTGGTGCCCTCTTCTGGCCTTTGTAAGCACCAGGCACAGGCAGACACGCAGGCACAACATTCACTCACATGTAAAATAAAACATATTTAAAGCAAACAAAATACAGGCTCTATATACATCCTTCCAACTCTGACATTCAGTTTCCTTGGCATGGCACAAGACAATCCTATTATCAAATTAAGACTGACAAAGGAGGCCAACAGGAATAAATATTCATTTTAAAAGCCATTGAAGATACCCCTGGAGCCCAAACTTAGCCAATATATAAAATAATCAACAATCATGTCCACTCATCTGTCTGTCACAGAGGGTTTGAGTGCAGTTATGGCTACCCCACTGGGTGTTGGGCACCACACTCATGTCCTTGGGAAGAGCAGTGTATGCTCTTTTGCTAAATCATCTCTTCTGTCCCTTTTCACATAATAAAAACACAAAAGCTGGGGACTTACTCAGTAGTTGGGGAAGTTTTAGGGCCTAGTATCTTTTGAACAAACCACTCAAGTCTAGGCACTCAGAAAGTTGAGGCAGGACCATCACATATTCAAGTCGCTTCTCTGGTCTCTAAAAAATATTAAGTTAATTAAAAGGGCTGGGAGAACATAACTAAGTGGTAGGTTGTTTGCTTGGTTTCTATGGGGCCCTAGTTTAATCCCAAGTATTGAAAACAGAATACACATTCTTTCTCTCTAACGGATAGAACTGGTTCAGCATGCGTATGTCAGCAAGTTCTATAAACAAGAAGGAAAAACAAAAGAACAGAAGCCAAGTTGTATACAATACAGATGTCCATACATTTTCTTTCCTAGTTAAATTTGGATACCAACTGGTGAGCAGTAACTTCAACTGATTCATTCTGTAAGTTTCTAGATTTTCTTTTATGGTTATGCTGATCATCTGGGAGTTACAACCCTGCAATTGACAAAGACCTGATGAGCACTTTTGTATGGACTGGAAAGGATAACAATCTAAACAGAGGATCTGAGTTGAGAATGCAGCTCAGTTGGTGGAGAGCACGTATAGCATCAACAAAGCCCCAGCACTGCATAAACTGTGAGACAGACAAGAGCATCCTAAACTCAAGGCCATTCTTGGTCATAACGAGTTCCAGGATGGCCTGGGCTGAAGGAGACTGACGCTAGAGATGGTGCAGTGCTGTGGAGCACTTGCTCTTGCAGAGGACCAAGGTTTGACTCCCAGAGCCCACAGCCACCCAAAATTCAAGTTCATGGGCACCTGACACCCTTTTCTGGCCTCCTCAGGCACCAAGCACACACACACACAAGCAAAGCATTTAATTTTATATACATATAAAATTAAAAAGATCAGGAGGTGGTAACACATGCCTTTAATCCCAGTACTCAGGAGGGGAGGCAGAGGCAAGAGGATCTCTTGAGTTTGAGGCCAGCCTGGTCTGTGAGAGCTAGTTCCATTGCAGCTTGAGCTGTTACATAGAGAAATCCTCTTTCCAAAAAAAGGACAACAAATTAAAAAAAAAAAAATTGTTGCTCTTGTGAAGGATCGTGGGTCAGTTTCCATCATTCTCATCAGGCAGTTTTTTCAACTCCTGTGACTCCAGCTCCAGGGGATATGGTGTCTTTTTCTGGCCTCCAAAAACACAAGACACGGGTGCACACATGTGCAAAATCTTAAAAACAAAATCGAGGGGCTGAAGACATGGCAAAGTGATTCCCAACACCCACACGACAGCTCAAAACAGTGTAACTCCAGTTCTAAGGGATTCAATGTCTCTTTCTGACCTCCATGGACTCCTGTGCACACATCACACACACCCTCAAAAATCAAAACAAAACCACCAGAACCTTGAACTTGTCCTGCCTCATCCTGAGTGCTATAATGGTTGCCATACACCACGACTGCTTACTTTATTCTCTCACCCCACTGTCATAGATGACTAGTTAGTTTTTATATTGTAGCCAGGTATGGTGGTACCAGGCACATGACGTTAACCTAAGCACTAAGGAGGCAGATTGGATCTCTGAGTTAAAGGCCAACCTGGTCTACATAGTCAACTTCAGGTCAGGCAAGGCTACATGGTGAAATCAATCAAAACAAACTAGTCTATCCTAAGAAAACCTTGGAAGCTCACTGTTAAAAATTTTCTAATGTATTATTTCAAATTGTACAAAGTGCAAACTTAATTGTGTTTCTTTCAATCTTACAGGAACTGTTTAGAAAATGTATGGCCGGATATATGTAACCCAGAAACAACAAAGCATTTGTATCAAAGCACCACCAGGGATGGACTTTTCAAACAGGAAAGAGTGCCAGCAGCTGGCAAGCAATTCATCCTGTGAAAATTACACACATTGGTTGGCTTGCCCAGAGGTTTTAGGGTTGGCTGGAAGCAGAATACCAGTCAACAGGTATTATCTGGATTCTTTTCTGCAGACGGCTAGCACTGATCTTAATGCACTGTGGAATAGGAAATGAGCCTTTTATCCTTCAGCAGCACACTGGGTATAACAGATGTATCACATATGGCAATATTGTGAAGATTATTTATTGCTTTGTGCTGACCCAAACCAAGAACATTCAAGAGAAAAAGTTGGGGTCAAAAGGCAGCCAATCTTTGCTGTAACAGATCCACCACTTGAGTCCCTTTGAGCTATGGGTATGAGATTTTAAATGACTTTCACAAAGCTATTTCCCCCTTAATGTCTACACTCAAATATTTACTCCTTCTTTTTTCTTGACAGACCTCCATTACATATAGCCCCGGCTGGCCTAGAACTCACAGAGATCCGCCTGCCTCTACAGTACTGAGATTATAGACAATATTTTCAAGTAGTCTAGGCTGGTTTCTAACTTGTTATGTAGGTCGGGATGACCTTGAACTTCTGATCTTGCCTCTACCCCAATTACTAGGACTACAGGTGTCTGTCACCAAGACACGCCTCCCCACATACACCCACAGCATCACCATGTAGTGATCTGGCTGTCTTGGAACACATCACATAGACGAGGGCCTCAAACTCACAGAAATCCTGCCTCTGCCTCCTAAGTGCTGGGGGGTTAAAGACGTGTGTCATCACAGCCAGCCTGACACACAATAAAACAATGAGAACAGGAACCACTTTGAAACTGGTCCAGACACTTCATTATTCAGACTTTCAAACAAACAAACAAAACATCACTGGTTTTGGAGGCAAGAGTCATCTAGACAGCTCAAGCAAAATCAGTCATTTTGTCTGGTTATTGCATGTGGTATTAAAGGCACTCATAGCTAACCCTTTAAAAGTAAGTAGGGACTCCCAGTAGAAAACACTGGACAGATACAAGGTCTCTAACACAAGCCTCTTTCAAATTTAAATTCTGCCTTAAATTCTCTATTATACTGCCTTTGACATCTTAGAAACTTGTGTAACTCTTTAGGGAAGACTTCAAAAATATGTAATTTTACCAAGACTAGTTTGTGTACTGTTTGGTAATGTCTTCACTTTCCCTGGCAGGAGTAAAGTTCTTTTTTTATGCTTCTGGATCAATTACATTTATTTTAATCTTGACAGTCAAGACCACGGAAAACAACTGTCATCCAAAACAAATCTTCAGGAAGCCGGAAACTGGTGATTGATGGATATTGAAAAAAACTTAGCAGCACAGGACACTTCATAGAAAAGCAATTTATTCCATTATAAGCACTTACACAGTTAGTCATAGAGAGTAACAGGCCTGATGGTGAGACAGGTCAACCAAAATGGAGATGGCTTCAAACTATAGTGGTCAAGGACTAACTCCTAAAAAAAGCAACTCTTATCAAGGATTAATTTAATTTTAAAAACAATACAAACTAGCAATTCACTTTCTCAACTTGACAGTTTACCAGTGGTATGACTGTCAGTTAAAAAACATACATCTCACAACTTGGTGGTCCCAAGTTTCAAAAACAAAAACAAAAAAACCGCACACAACAAAAGCCAAGTGAAGTAGGTGTCTGAGTCAGGAGTATAAATATTGCAAGATGTCATTTTTATTCCTGAATAAAATTTATTCATTTTTATAAATTTATAAATTTTTCTTCAGGAATTTTCTAGTAATAAACCCAGGTCTAAAGTAGCTTCAGAAATGGGGCATATTATGTGTGATTATTTTTCTTCTTAAGCTATATCCCCAAGTTTTTCAGATTCTCAAGTAAGTGGCCAGAATGGATAAGGAATAAGTGAAGTAACTGTTCGAGCCAGGAGTATAAATATTGCAAGATGTCATCTTACAATATTTATAGAAAAATAATCACGCATAATAATGCCCCATTTCTGAAGCTACTTTTAGACCTGGGTTTGTTACCAGAAAATTCCTGAAGAAAAATTTAAGTATAAGTCTGTGGCTTTGTTGAATTAAGCCCCCCAGTTAAGATTTAGAAAACACCCATGGTTTGGGCTAATAGTATTGTTGGTGGCACCTATTGTAGCCGGATAGCTGAACAAAGTCTGTGTCTCAAACCAGTGTTAAATCCATCTCAGGGTTCAGAAGAAAACAAGGGGAGTCTAAATCACAAGTGCAGACATGTCTAGGATCCTTGTCCTTCTGGATCCACACTTCCTTCAGGGTCTTCATCATTGTAAATATTCTCTGCCTGCCAAAGAGAGAAGGCAGTTACTTCTTTTCTTCCTCCCTCCCTTTTTTCTCCACCTCCCACCCCCTTTGGAGCCATTCAGGCTGGCCTTGAACTCACAGAGATCCACCTGCCTCCTGAGTGCTGGGATTAAAAGTGTGTGCCATTACTGTCATTACTTCATTTCTTGAAGTCTATTTTCATAATATATTATGCCAAGGTGCCTGATAACAAGGTCCCTGATAACATTTCAAATAAGGCCAGTTCTAACTATTCAATGCTGTTGCTAAATAAAAACAGCAGACAATGCACAGACAACATGAATCATAAACAGAACAGGTGTGTTCCAGTACAAACTAGGAGCAGGCCACAGCTTCCACTATAGGGCATTTTCACAAAATGTGGATGATCTTCATTCCTGAACTCTTAAACCAGATATATTATTGGTAATAGCTAAAATATAAATCAGAAGTTTCTATGAGACACACAGAAGTTGATGCTTATGAGCATCCTTTCATAATTAAAATGACACAATTCTTACAATGCCATTCATAATCTATGTCAACTTAGTCTATATAATAAAAATGACTGTTATGAATTCTTTAAAATACCAGCATTAAAAATTAATTCTACATTTTAAGGTAAACTTTAACATATACTTATGACATCAATGCATAGAAATCTACTACCTGTCTACCCCCCTCTTTCAAAAAAGACCAGGGCTTTCTGCAGGGCAGTGGTGGCATATGTCTTCAATCCTAGCACTTGGGAGGCAGGGGCAGGCAAATCTTGAGTTCAGGCCTGCCAGGGTTGTTACATAGAGAAACCCTGTCTCAAAACCAACCAACCAACCCAATCATTTAAAAATCAAGTTGTTGACATCTGCTCAGTCTGCTTAGAGACTTAATCAATGATGAGGTTTGGCTCTGTATTAAGTTCTTGATTTAAACTCAAAATTTTTAATCTATATCAAGATTTATACCATCAGAAGTGCAGATTAAAGCAGTTAAAGACTGCTTAGTGCTATAAAAAAAAAATCAGAACTTAAAACTGGTAAGTTACAAAAATCCTAAAAAGAAAAACTACATGTGTTTTAACACTGCTCTCACAGCAATGAACCGGCTTATAAACAAGCACACACATTAAAGTTGTTAACAGTCCCAGTTCCTTTGAGTTCATAGTATAATAGTTTACAACACTCAAAAGCCCCAGCCACATATTTTGACATAGTAATGACAAAAACCAAAATTTAATCTGTGTCATCTTGGGGGAGTAGACAGATCCAGTAATCCTAAACTTGTCTTCAGGATACATAGAAAACTTTAAATTTAAACAAATTAGATCAGGCACAAAGAATGCATCTATTTTGGGTCAGTGAGACATCTTAGCTGTTAACTTTCTACCAAGCCTGACAACCTGAGTTCAAGCCCCAGGAACTACACTGTGGGGAGAACTAACTCCCCAAAGTTGTCCTCTGACCTCTACTCCATATATGCTCTCCCAGCTCCCCAATAACACACACAGAGAAAACACGCAATTTAAGCAGCAGGTCTGGTCAAGTGCAATCTCCTTGATTATTTCTGGGTTAGCATCTATAAAATCATTCAAAGAAGTCTGTACTGCTTGGTTGGGTAAAGAATGGTTAATCCATTCGTCCTTTAACCCTAGCACTTGAAAAACCAGGCAGGTGGACCGCTATGAATTAGAGGTTCTACACGGTGAGATCCTTTCTTAAACAAATACAGCAACACAACCCTTTACTGGAGACTAGAGAGAGCTCAGTGGTAAAAAGCACTTGCTGCTCTTGCAAAGAACCCAGGTTCAGTTCTTGGCACCCACATGTATCTCACCACCATCAGTTATCTCCAGACCCAGGGAATCTGATGCAGTCTTCTGGTCTCCAGAGGCACTGCACGCACAGTGCACACACAGATAAATGCAGGCAAAAATATTCATATAACACACAAATAAATAATTTATGGTTTGATCTTCACTATTTTTCTGGTTCTCAATGGTCACAACTTTCACTGGATTCCTTCTTTAAATTGTTCTTTTTTGTTTCACCACATCCTCAGTACATAAACACCAGAACCCACATATAGCATTTACACAGTGCAAGCAGTCACATCCTAAGAACAAGCTACACAAGGATGGCTCTCCTGAGACAAGCACGGACAGTAGTCTTTCCTGGCTCTTGTTCGGTCAGGAGTATGAGTTGGCACAATCAAACTTTTTTTTTTAAACTTTTTCCAGATAGGGTTTTTCTGCATATTCTTGACTGTCCTGGAACTCACTCAGTAGATCAGGCTGGCCTCAAACTCAAAGATCTGCCTACTTGTCTCCTGAGTTTCAAGGCATATGCCACCATGCTCCACCTAAACCTTGTATTTTTAATCTTGTAAAATGAATGTTCAGTCTACAAAAACTTCTAACTAAACACGATACAAGGGTTCCAATCAACTCTATGTTACTACATACCCTTGCTTCCAAGAACAGATACAGTAAAGAAATCTCTAGTATAGCTCTTATGCTGAGACTATGGCCCTCATCAACAGAATAAAATTATAGAAATCTAATCATTATCCTTCAGCTACAAGCTATAATTTCTGAGAACACAGTACTTAAATGGGATTTGGACAATAAAGTGTACTAAGAGGCATCAAGATTGACATATAAAAGCACCCTGTTAGTAGAATATCTAGAGTCCCCCCCCAAAAAAAAACATGAAACAAAAAAAGATTCCTAAACTCTCTGGGCTGCGGAGCAAATGACCTGAACTCATTTTCCATTCTGAGAAGTGCTTTTCTCTAATAATAATCTCTATCTCTAATACTACTTTTGGGTCTGACTCTTTCTTTCTAAGTCATAGACAGGTCTTATTCTTATAACAACTTTTCTGGCTCAGCAGAATTAGTGTTGAGACTACAACTAGTATTTTTGAAACCTAATAGGATGATATAACTAGACCCAGAGGTGAAGAGACTTGTGAATTCTTGTAGCTTTAAAGGCTGATTAAAGACACACTGGAGATACAGTATTAGGAAACAATGGTGAGGAAGACAAAGGGGCGCTAGAACAGAGAAAAGTCCAGTTTTATTTAGTTGAACTTTTAGTTCACAAGCAGTGGCACCAGCGCTCAGGAGGCAGAGGCAGGTATGTCTGTGAGTTCAAGGCCAGTCTACAAAGTGAATTCTGGGACTACCCATAGAAACTGTTCAAAAACCAAAAAAGAAAAGTACAAACAAACAAAACACCCAACAGGGAAAACGTCACATAAACATCAAAGCCATACCTGAGGAAAACAGGACAGAGATGGCAGCTGCATCCAAAGTGTGTGTGTGTGATGGTCTCATGTACCTAATGTCCCCTAAATAAATTGCTGAACACTTACCATCTGCCACACTTGCATGATATTGTCTTCTGATACAGAACAAATCACCCAAGGTTCATTGGGATTCCAGGAGAAATCAGATATCTTGGCAGTGTGACCACCATGAATAAACTGGAAGAGGGACCAAAACCAAGACATTAAACCACAGCCTACTGTCTTAAGCACAGACCCCAAAGTGCCTGAAAGGTTATAACATACCAGCAACTCTGGTGGGCCATCTTCTGCATCTTCTGGGGACTGTTCTTCTCCAATTTTACTTAACAAAAAAGAATTTTAAGTCAGAAAACATTACCCTGTGTGGTAGTTTGAATTTAACTGGCCTCCATAAGCTCACAGGCACTATGAGGAGGTGTGGCTTGTTGGAGGAAGTGTATCACTGTGGAGGCGTGCTTTGAGTCTCTATATGCTCAAGCCACATCCAGTGCCTTAGCTCACTTTCTGTCGTCTGCACAAGATGTAGAACTCTCAGCTATTTCTCCAGATCATGTCTGCTGGCGTACTTCCCTGTTACACCATGATAACAATGGACTAACCTCTGAATTCTAAGCTCCCCAATTAAACATTCTATAAGAGCCTCTGTGGTCATGGCTGTCTCTTTACAGAAAAAGAAAACCTAAGACAGCCTCAGCACCTATCTTTGAAAAATGTAAAGATGCCAGGTGGTGGCGGCGGCGCATGCCTTCTAATTCCAGCACTAATGGAGGCAGAAGCAGGCAGATCTTTCTAAGTTTGAGGCCAGTCTGATTTTTGAGCAAGTTTCAGGACAGGCTCCAAAGCTACTGAGAAACCATGTCTCAAAAAACCAAAGAAAAATGTAAAGACAGTAACTTTGCCAGGCTCAGCACTCAGGAGGCAGAGAGAGGTGAAAATAATATTGAGTTTGAGGTCAGTCTAGTTTACAGAGTGAGTTCTAGGATAATCAGGACTACACAGGGAAACCCTGTCTCCCCAAAACAAAAACAAATCAGTAACTCCATGGATAGGGTAACAAACACAAAACTTACCTTAAATCCCACACATTCAACCTACGATCAGTACCGCTAGAAGCCAAAATAGTCTCATTGTGAGGTGACCACTGAACCTAAATCCAAGAGAGAAGAAAAATTCAACAAATTAGAAGGGAAAATATCTCAAATTATATCTTACAAAACTCTGTAAATAAAAGACAGTGAATACTGTCAAAACGGACAAATATTAGCCGGACGGTGGTGGTGCATGCCTTTAATCCCAGCACTTGGGAGGCAGAGAGGCAGGCGGATCTCTGAGTTCGAGGCCAGTCAGATCTACAAGAGCTAGTTCCAGAACAGGCTCCAAAGCTACAGAGAAACTCTTGTCTCGAAAAACCAAAAAAAGTGGTTATGCATGCCTTTAGTACCAGCACAAGGGAGGACTGCAAGTGGATCTTTATGAGTTCAAGTCCAGTCTGGTTACTGAATGAGTTCCAGGACAGTTAAAATTGTTACAGAAACCTAGTCTCAAAAAACAAAAAAACAAAACAAAACAAAACAAACCAACCAACCAAAACACCCCACCTCATTATTAGAGATAGGATCCTAGCTTCTGTTGCCATTTTATGCCTCACCCACTGTGCCTCTCTCAATAGGGCTTGAGAGCATACAGTTCAAGTTGGTTTCAAACTCTTGTGATTCCTTGCTTCAGCCCCACTTTCCACACTTTCCTCTTCTCCCCAACCCCACATTATTCACATCTAATTCTAACTTTTAGCCAAACCAAGTTCAATTCTGACACAGTAACTAAAATATTGACAGATTATAGCAATCTATGATTATTTTCTCAACTGCTTATGTGCCACATAACACACAACAGGCAAGGAGTTTAAGTCCCAGTTACTGCCAGTTTTCTCCCCCCAAAGATACCTTACAAAGTCATTAGATAAAAGATAACTACATATGCAAAACTATCACAACTTCTGTTGCTATTAATAAAGTGCTGAGCTGGGCTTGCGGTCTTTAATCCCAGCACTTGGGAAGCAGAGGCAGGAGGATCTCTGAGTTCTAGGCCAGCCTGCTCTGCAGAGTGAGTTACAGGAAAGCTAGGGTTGTTACAGAGGACAATGACAAAACAGGTATGCACTTATCTCTGGCTTCATTATAAAATTTAAGCTTGAGAGAAAACACTGCAAAGTAGTTCTCACAATGTCTTAGAGCAGTATGTTTTAAAATAACAATGATTTCTTGAGTCAGAGGAATCTGTCTGCCTATTAAAAAAAAGGGGCACACAGGACTCTAAGTAGCAAAAACTGGAGAATCACAAGTACCAGGGCTACAACAGTAAGACTGTCTCAAAAGGGATAGGGCTGGAGATATGGCTCAATGGTTAAGAGTACTGGCTGCTCTCCCAGATAATTAGGGTTCAATTCCTAGTATCCACATGGTGGCCCACAATCACCTGTAACTCCAATCCCAGGCAGCCCAATGCCCTCAGTTCTGGTCTGAGGTACAGACACATATGTAGGCAAAATACCTACACACAAAAAATAAATTTTGAAAAAGCCAGGAAAGAAACTAGGCAGTGGTATCACATGCCTTTAATCCCAGCACCCAGGAGGCAGAGGCAGGTAAGACCTCTGTGAGTTCAAGGCCAGCCTGTCTACAGATTGAGTATCAGAACAGTCAGAGTTCTTATACAGTGAAACCTTGTCTTAAAACAGATAGATCAATTTGTGGAGGCAGTAGTTCAGATTTCAGCTAAACTCAAAAGATACATGGTAAGCTTAATGAATGAATGAAAATGAGAGGGAGGGAGGTGGGAAGAAGGGAAAGAGAGAGAAAAGAGAAAAAGAGAGAGAACTGAGTATAAAGAGTAACATTGATGTACAGGTACCTCACTTCCAAAATCTTGAGAAAGGGTCTCATTTCTCAATGTGGTTCACACTGCCCTTGAACTTATTCTGTCGCTGTGGCTAACCTTCATCTGTTGTTCCTACTTATTTGTTCCTAGTGCTGGGATTACAGGTATGTGCCACTATTCCTGGTTTATGAGTCGCTCTGCATGTTAGGTAAGAACTCTACCAACGGAGCTTCATTTCCATGTGCTCTCTGACTTGTGAGCTTCTCAAGTGCTAGAATTATTGGTGTGCACCCATTTGCTGTACAGAGAGAGGGGAAAAAGGGAGGGAAGGGGAAGGAAGGGAAGAGAGTAGGCAGCACAGGTTTCTCTTACTTGGAATATTTCATCCTTATGTGATTCAAAGGAATGCAACTTGAGTTTCAGATTTCTCAGATCCCACAAGGCAACAGTCTATGCACAAAAAGAAAAAGAAATCAAGATAAACTTATTAAGAAAAGCCTAGGGCCAACAAGATGGTTTAGTGAATAAAGGTGTTTGCTGCCAAGCCTGGTAAAGAGTTTGATCCCAGAATCCACATAGTGGAAGGAGTAAACAAATTGTCTTCCAACCCCACACAAACATCACTGCATATGTACACCTATCCCTGCCAAATAAGTAATTTAAAGAGAGAGTGTGTATATACACACTTGTTCCATGACAACCGTGAAGAGATCAAAGTGGAGTTGGTAATCTCCTTTAGTCATTTTGGTCTTGGGGACTGAATTCAGATCTTCAGGCTCAGACAACCTTTAAAACATTAACTAAGATATTTTTGCACATTTAAAAGATACTGAAGATGGCTCAGTGGTTAAGAGTACTTAGTACTCGTCCAGAGGGCCAGTTCAGCACACACTTGATGTGTCACAAATATATGTAACTCCAATCCCAGGGGATCTAACACCATCTTCTGGTCTCAATGGGCACCAGGCATATACACCATGCTGAAGATATGCACGTAGGCGAAGTTCCCTTAACCATAAGATATAAAACCTGAAACAAAGCGAACTGACCTTGTCAGCTGATCCTGTGGCAAGAATGAACTCACTGTAAGGATTGAAAGACAGGCAGTTCACTTCAGCAGTGTGAGCATCGACTGAGTGGCTTGGCTTGGAAGTATTGTTTGAACGAGTATCCCAACTTCATTTAAGAAAAGAGAAAACAGGAAAAGAAGTTTGAAATGGTGACTAAATGCAACACTCTAAAAATGTACGCATTAAAAAATAAACAATGGGGCCCACTCACATCATAAGTTTCTGGTCATCAGCAACTGACCCAAACAGAGACTCGTGGAGCAGATGCCAGGAAACGTCCTCTACTACTGCTGTATGCCCGGTGAAAATGGTCTTTGCATCCACCACTTTTCCTTCCTTTGGAACTGCACTGATGTCCCATAGGCAGATGGTCTTAAAGATAAAAACTAACCATTATATAAAGGCTCTCACTTCCCCACATATCCCCCCCGCAAAGAAGCCAAATTGGCAATAACTCCAGATTTTCTTCAAAATCTGCAAGGATACGCACATGGTCATCTGAAGCACTGAGTAAGTGCCCGCTGAGATTTGGATTCCAAGAAAGACCATAACCTTCCTTCTGATGTCCGCGGAGACGCAAATCTGGGTTGCACTCTCCAGAAGGATCTGCAAAGTAACAGACATATCTAGACTATCCAGCCCATTGCCTCTCTGGGTTTATTAAGCAAAATGATGTCAAATGTCTATTATACAGCTCACAACTGTCTGTAAATCCAGTTCCAGATCTGACACACCTTCACACCAATGCACATAAAAATATAAAAAAATTAAGAGGGGGGCTTAATTAAGGCCATTAAGATGGCTCAGAGGTTAAGAAACAAAACACATATTATACAAAATACAAACCCATTATGGCCAATTATATAATGCTTAAGTTGCAAAATCATGATTTCCTCTACATAATGCATTGTTTCACTTGAGAAGCATAAAAATACCCAAATATTTCTGAGTAAATGGAACCTGTATCTGATTAAAAAGGGGGAAGTACCTGGTTTAGAAGGATGCTTTGTGTAGTCAAAAACAAGCACATCGCTGGACGGAGTCTTTGTTGCAATGATGCAAGGGTTCTGGGGCATGTACCGAGCCCTGTTTACTTCTCCTTCATGGTTGATCTTGATTTCTATTTCAATTTTCCCACTGACAGAGCCAAAACCTCCAAATTCTGTACATAGAAGCAAAAAGTACTCAATCAACCAGACTAGAAGACCGACCCATTTAGAGAACTACAGTGTAACATTTATACATACACTTGTAACTACTGATAGGTCAGTAATAAACACTACATTACCAATTAAAATCAAGAAGGTATGAACTCCAAGTCAGCCTTTAAATCTTGGCACTCCCAGGAAGAACAAATAGATCTTTGTGAGTTAGAGGCCAGCCTAGTCTGCATAGTGAGCATTATGCTACTAGCTAAGGCTTTATAGTGAGATCCTGTCTCAGGGAGGAGGACGAAAAAGGTCTTGTGAGTCTCATTCTGTTTGTTTTCCAGACATGCCTTCAATTCACTACATAGAGGTCGTCTGTCCTTCATCTCTTTCTCCCATTCCTTCTCAAAATCTCATTCTACAGCCTAGCCTAAGCAATTTTCCTGAGTGCCAAGATTACAAACACAACGGCCACTATTCCTTGCTAAAAGGTTGTTCCTGGCAGTTTTCAAATCTCACTTGATGTAAAAATAACTTTTTGGGGCCAAGTAGTGGTGGTGCACACCTTTAATCCCAGTATTCAGGAGGCAGAGGCAGGAGGATCTCTGTGAGTTTAAGACTAGCCTGGTCTACAGAGCAAGTAGAAACTCTGTCTCTAAAAACCAAAAGAAAAAGAAAATTAGGGAGAGGGGCTGTTTCAAGACAGGGTTTCTGTGTAGCTCTGGCTGTCCTGGCACTCACTCTGTTGCTTTGAACTCAGATCTGGCTGCCTCTACCTCCTGAGTGGTGGGATTAAGGGTATGCTCTACTACTGCCTGGCTAAAAATATTTTGTGTGTAAGTATTTTCTTACATGTGTGCTAATGTGAATCTGGTGTCCACGGAAGTAGGCGGATCTCTCTGAGTTTCAGGCCAGCCTGGTCTACAGAGTGAGTTCCAGGACAGGCTCCAAAGCTACAGAGAAACCCTAGCTTGGAAAAACAAAAACAGAAGTACCAACAAGTTGTATCTCTTCGGGGTTTTTATTTTATTTTTTTTTAGTTCAACGAGAAAACAAACACTGCAGTCTGCTTTTCCAGTCACTTCTTTCATGCTGGACCCTAGCTTGCTCTATCACTGATCTGCATTGCTAGGCAAACTCTTGTAACTTTTCATTTTTAAACACCCTTTCACTAAGTTGACTAGGCAAAATTCCAAACCTTGAAGTCCTCCTGACTCAAGTCTCCTGAATAGCACTGATTACAGATCTGCTACCAGGCCTAGTAAGTTCCTTTTAATTAGCATCCCTAAAATTTTATGAATTATCTTATTATTGGGCTTTAGAGACAGGTTCTCACTATTCAGCCTTGTTTGTCCTGGAACTCGTAGAGGTATGTTCCACCATGCCTGGCTCTAAAATGTACTTATTGTCATTATGTATGCCATGGTGTACATGTGGAGGCCAGAGGACAACTCAGGTGACAAGAATCTTTTCCTTTTGAGCCATCTCATGTGCTCTCCATTCACATTTAACTATCCCAAGCAGCGCTACAAAATAAATAATCTGTGGTTATATAAAATAAATGAGGGTAATTAATGATAGAAGACTTACAGAAGGCAGGATATGGTAGAAAATACTAAGTGTTACACTTAGACCCAAGTAGCTCTGTTACTTCCCAGTTTGGTGATTTGCGGAAGGCTTTAAGTTTAGAATTATGTACAGATGAAAATGTTCTGTCACTAACACTGCTACTCAGATGTTACTTCACTTATTGATTGATTGACTGACATGGTCTCATTTATTTTTAGAGAGCAGATAAAATGAATAACACTGTTAGCCTATTACACAATTTTCAACCTCAAAATAATTCTTATTACATTCATTATTTACTTATTTTGAGACAGGGTCTCACTGTAGCTCTGGCTATTCTCAAACTTGCTATGTAGACCAGACTAACCTGGAAAACACATATGATCTATCTATTTCTGCCTCCCAAGTACTAGGATTAGAAGCCTCAGCCAACACATTTATCTATTTTTGCCTGTATGTATACACTCTATGGAATACATCTTTAATCCTGCCTGTAGGGTGGCAGAGGCAGGCACATCTTTTGAGTTCCAGACCAGCCAGGTAGCCAGGGGTACACCCTGTCTTGAAAAACAGCTCTAGGGTCTGGAAAGATAGCTCAGAAGAGCACTGGTTGTTCTTCCAGAAAACCCAAGCTCAATTCCTATCACCCACATGGCAGCTCACAACTGTTTATAACTCCAGTTACAGGACATCTGGAACCCTCATAGAGACATACCATGCAGGAAAAACACCAATACACATAAAATGAGAATTTTTAAAAAAGTAATAAAAGTAAAAAAGATTATGAGGGGGGAATAAATAAGCCTTTGTATATACCCGACTCTACGACATACTAAAGATTTAACACAGGACTAGGCACTGGAGCATTCACTGCACCAGTAGGACAATAGCAAAGACCCTGCCTCAACAAGATGTAAGGCAGAGATGCCCTCTGACCTCCACATACAAACACAACCCATATAGGCACGCATAAATAAATGTTAGAAAGGATGTAACATGGCAAGCGATCTCAAGGAATTCAGTCTAAGTACACGGTAAGTATAGTGATATTCTATTTATGTTTAAATAAGTAAAGCTTGCCTGAAGATCAGAGGGTAAAACTAAGCCACTAGAGGCCAGACAGTGGTGTCACACACCTTTAATCCCAGGGTTTGGGAGACAGAGGCAGATGGAGCTCTGTGAGTTCAAGGCCACCCTGGGCTACACAAAATCAACACAGAAACAGATCCAGGTGATGGCTCCCTCCTTTAATCCCAGCACTAAAGGTGAATATAAAATGGGAGGAGACAGAGGCTCCGAGCTCAATTCGCAGTCGCCCAGCCTTTGGTAGAGGTAAGACTTCTCTAGTGGCTTGACTGTTTTGCTTTTCTGATCTTTAGCCTGAATCCCAATTTCAGTCTTTGGGTTTTTATTATTCATGTTACAGGTAAGCACATAGCCACACAAGACTTGACTGTCAAAGTAGCAACATACAGGAGAAAAGCAGCAATTGGCAGAGCCCACAGAAAAGGGGCTACCAGTCATATAATGCATGGTTTTCATTTGGGGCATATACTTAAAAATTATAGTAGCAAGAGCCCTGTTTTAGAGACTTCAAATTAAGAATATTTTGTTTTGTCTGCCTATGTCTCAGTAGCCTCGCTTGCTTCAAACTAAAGATCTACCTGCCTTCCAGTATGGAGATTGCAAGGCACGTACCACCATATGCAGCTCTTAAATTGAGTTTTAACACAGATTAGGATGCGTCTTTTTCTTTTTGCATGGAATCAAAGGCCACAAAGATTACCACTGAAACATTATCACTCCACCAGCTACACCTACTTAAAATTATAGATTGTCACTATAAAGTAGATAGTGGAAGGACCCATTCAAAACAGGAAAGGCCTGAAATATTAAAAAACTGAAAGTAAGAAATTCTTCCTAGCTTGTTTCTTCTTAAAAGGCAAAACACTAATAAAACCAACCTAAAGCACAGCACCAACAGAAAGAAAAAAAAAAAAAGGAACAGACCCTGTGGCTTTGTAGCCCTTTATCCATGTGCATAGCAGGGAAATTCAAACCACAGTGCACACATTCACATTTCCATGGGCCAGAGATGGCTCACTGATGAAGAGCACTGGCTGCTCTTCAAGAGGACCCCGAGTTTGGTTTTCAGCATCCACAGGGACTCTGATAATCCTCTTCTGGTCTCCACAGGCACTAGGCACACATATGGTGGGTGCACTGACTTATATGCAGGGAAAACACTCATGTACATAAAACAGTAACGATAATAAAAGAAACCCCTTTTAAAAGGCTAAGTCAGGGGCAGGTGGATCTCTATGATTACAAAGCCAGCCTTGTCTAAAAAGCAAGTTCCAGGGCTGTTACATAGAGAAATCTTGTCTCCAAAAACAAAAGGCTAAAATCAAGAGGATCACCAGTTCAAAGCTAGCCTTGACTACTTAAAGGAGTTTCAGGCCTGCCTAGACTATAGAGAGACTGTCTTTAAAAAAAAAGAAAAAAAAAAAAAGAAAGGAAGAAAAAAATGCAAAGCCCCCCACCCCACAAGCAACTAACCAAAAACTGACCAAACAAAATATTTCCAGCACCCTAGAAAGTTGCGTACAGTTAACCAATACTATGGCCAAACAAGGTTCCCTCACTCCGATTTTTAACAAAGTTACTTGTCTGGGTCATAAACATTGTGGAATTTCAAAGAATGTATTTTAACACCAATATATTTTAACAAGTCAAGTAACCAAATTATTTTATCACAATCAATGATGATACTTAATTCATGAATTTTTATAACGCATTCCCTTTTTTAGGCAAGAAGTGATTTACCTAGTAATCTCTCAAAAATATTCTTTTGTGTCTGTGGTGCTAGGTACGGAGCCCACAGTCTTGCAGATGCTAAACAAGTGCTCTATCACTGAGATACAACCTAAGAGACTTATGTAGTAATGTTTTGAGTTTTAACAAAGCTTGCCTGAAGATCAGAGAGTGCAGAGCTAAGCCACTAGAGGCCAGGGAGTACTGGCACATACTTTTAGTCCTAGCACTTGAGAGATAAAGGCAGAAGGGACTCTGTGAGTTCAATGCCACCTTGGGCTACACAAGAACCAATCCTTCTAAAAGAGAAACAGCTCACAAAAAGGTGATCCCACACCTTTAATCCCAAGCATTAGGGAGATGAAGACAGGAGTGATATGGCTTGACAGACGGGAATATAAGGTGGAGAAGACAAGAGCTCACTGTAGTCTGTTTACAGGATTGCCTGTTGGGTCGGAGCATTGGTAGAGGTAAAAGGTCTCTCTAGTAGTTGTCTACTCTGCTTCTCTGATCTCTCAGATTTCACCCCCTAATACCTGACTCCGGGTTTTTATTAAGAACAATTAGAATTCATGCTACAGACTTATTAGACATAACTGTACCCGTCACTGATGAGATCAACTGAAGTCACCACTCCCCCATATTTAAGTACCAAGCCTATCCGCTTATTGGTAAAGGGGTAAAAGGGAAATAGTGTGTAACCCCGGGGTAGTGAGATAACCAAATTTAAAAATCCATAGCTGTTATTCATATTACTGTTTTGTTTTTTTGCTATTTCTGGGGAGAAAGAAGTCGCTTTGAGAAAGAGTCAGGATCTCAATATGCAGACCACGATGGCCTTGAACCTGTGATAATCCTTTCCCATCTGGCACTATGGTACATACCTACACCAACACACAAAATCAAACTGTAGCCAGAGGAAGAAGTTCAGAGGTAGACAGCATACTGCCCCCAATTCCGCAAAGCAAGAGAAACACTGAGGGAACAGGACTCAATTCTAATCACACACAGAGCAGCAAAATAAACAAAGACCAAAGTTTATCAGTTAAAGTACTAGGAATAAACAAATGATATTTTGAAATCTTGGAACAGGAAGGCATTTCAAAGAAGGACAGAAAAGTTGAAGGACATTACAGGAAAAGTTAATAATTCGTAATTGTACAGTAATCATCCTTGTCTTCACTTTGACGTTCTGGGCAGGATTGAGTTAACAAAATAGCAGAGGTCAGGTTTGTTAACTCAATCCTGCCCAGAAGTCAAAGTGAAGACAAGGATGATTACAAGTTCATGCCAGCCTGAGTTATTAGTTACCTGAAAGCCTATTCAAAAACAACCAAAATATAATACACACAAACTTAGAACCTTAAGTTTATAAATAAAATGAGCTTGGAGGATAGAGATGGTTTAAAAGGTAAAATGCTTCCTACCCAGAAAGCAGGAAGACCCGAGTCTGAATCCTCAGCACCTACATAAAAAAAAATCAGATATGTTGGGCTGGAGAGATGGCTCAGGGTTAAGAGCATTGCCTGTTTGTTCTTCCGGAGGTCCTGAGTTCAATTCCCAGTACCCACATGGTGGCTCACAACCATCTATAATGAGATCTGGTGCCCCTTTCTGTTCTGCACGCAGAACACCATATACATAATAAATACATTTTAGGGAAAAAAAGAGAAAAGGTCAGGCATGACTTCGAATATATCTGTAACACCAGGACTAGGGTGTAACGACAAGTAACCTAGCTGACTGGGCAAGCCTCCAATTCAGCAACACTATATCAAAGGATTAAATAGAAGAATGGCAGAAGAAGGCTCAGAAGAAGGCTCTTCTGAGTGTGTTGGCATGGACACCAGCACCCACACACACTTGCATGCAAAATGAGATTGGAATTTACTGTCAGAAAAGCAAATTATAAACCCACATTAAACATTCTGTACTGCATCTCAGGTACCTAGAAAAACACCTCCATGTAGTAAGTACTAACCCCCCCTCCAACAAACACCAAGCCTCCTGCCTCCACCTGTCAGGCAAAAACATTCTACCAGTTAGTTATATCCCTAACTCTTTTTTTTTTTTTTTTTTTAAATCTTACCGTAGGGGCTGGAGAGATGGCTCAGGGGTTAAGAGCATTGCCTGCTCTTCCAAAGGTTCTAAGTTCAATTCCCAGCAACCACATGATGGCTCATAACCATCTTTAATGGGGTCTGGTGCCCTCTTCTGGCACCAGAATATTGTATACATAATAAATAAATATTAAAAAAACTTACTGCAAACATACATGTGGGTGGGTGTGTACATCTACACTTGCATAGGTGACAGAGCAACTCTCCTTCTACCATGGGTTTCAATGATTTTTAACTGCTCAGCTAGCTCACTGGCCTGTTTTTTTTTTTTTTTGAAACAGGAGTCTTGAATTTGCGAGTATTTTATCTCAGCTTGGAGGGCTATGATTACAAGTGTGCCCATTCACATCATTTGTTGAATGAATAATTTAATACATGGACTCCTTTAATCGGAACTTTTCATACCTATAACAACAAAAGCCCATCTATTTTGTTGTATCAGTGACTGAATCCAGGGCTTCAGATATGATAGTGAAAGTATTCTCCTCATTGAGTTCTGAGGATGTAGCTCAGTGGTAGAGCATTTGGCCTTAAACACACAAAACACTGGGGTCAATTACCCAGGAAATCATTAAAATAGGAAAAAAAAGATACTTCATTCCATTTAACTGATAAGAACTATACTCAGGTTAAATGACTTATCCTAAAACCACAAGCGAGGCTGGGCGTGGTGGCACAGGTCTTTAATGCCAGCACTTGGGAGGCAGAGGCAAGTGGATCTCTGAGTTCAAGGCCAGCCTAGAAAGCAAGTTCCAGGACAGTCAAGGCTACACAAAGAAACTCTTTTGTTTTGGAAACAAAAAACAAAACCAAAACAAGCACATAGCTAAACAGTGGCAAACAGGATCTCCACCCATCCTCACTCTGAAAGTCAGTGTTTTCCTTCTCCAACCAAGCATAAACAGGGATCCAGAGACTAACTTTCCAAAAAACTATTCACTTTTTAATACACAAAATCATAGTTGATCATTACTTTAACAACCTATTTTGCATTCTGTACCATAGAAGATTAAATGTGGAATAACCAGGAACTAAATAACACAATTGTTATCTTGGCCAACAGATGGATTCCAAATAAATTTACACATAAAGGAAGGGTTCTTTCTGCTTATCTCGAAATATTAAGCACTGACTGATTATATGGAGCATAAATGTTAATGAAAAAAATTCAATATCTATCCTTTGTTTTGTCTGAGACAGGGTTTATTCAAGGAAACTCTGCTAATGACCTTACCTTTTTAAATGTTTTGGTATGAGGGCCATAAAGAAAATTGGGACTGGTTAAAAAAAAAAACAACAAAAACCACAAACAAACAAACACGAGCAGTTATCTTAGGTTATCTCCTAAAAAATTGGTTGTCAAAATATTTTTATGAACATAACAGATACCACATCATCGCTACTATTTTAAACGTTTAAGGATAATTTAGTGGTTGGGCAGTGGTGGTGCAGCCTTTAATCCCAGCACTTGGGAGGCAGAGACAGGAGGATCTCTGAGTTAAGACCAGCCTGGTTCACAGAGCAAGTTCCAGGACAGTTAGCACTACACAGAGAAACCCTACCTCCCAAAAGGAAAACAAACAAGGATAATTTAGCATTTTTCATCCCCACCACTAGTTATCCCTAAGAAACTTTTATGAACCAAAGTCTGGCTGCAATTTTGTGATCTTTCTGCCACCTGTGCTTGTAAAACATTTACGACGTAGGGCTGGAAAGATGGGTTCAGCGATTAAGATCACTTGGCTCTCTTGCAAAGGACCTGGGTTCAATTTCTAGTGGCTCACAAGTGCCTATAACTCCACTCGATCCTGTTCTGGCCTTTATAGCCACCACGCATACAAGTGGTGCACATATACACAGGCAAAACACTCAAACATAAAAAAAGTAAGGGGGGGGGGCAGGTGGTGGTGACAAAGTAGATCTCTGTGAGTTAGAGGCCAGCCTGGCCTACAAAGCGAGTTCCAAGACAGCCAGTGCGACAGAGAAAACCTGTGCTGAAAAACCAAAGACTATGTAGCAATTCCCTAAGAATTAATTTGTCTCTTTGGGTCAGTGTCTTTCCTGTTGAGAATACACAACAAAAAACATATGGCAGATCTTTACTCCATTAACTGCAGGAATCCCACCATAACCAATACAGTAGAGGGCAGATTATGGCAAATATAAAGAAATAAATTTTGTGTTGATTACTCTTCACTGCAAACTAGTTTTCCCAATAACAGAAGAGGCCACCCAACTAAATTGTGTACCTCAATGTAATTTGGATCTGAAAGCCATAACCCATACATCATTACTTCTTTCATTCTCAAGAGTCCTACCTCCTTTTTCACTGTCATAGTGTGAAGCATCAAACTGAGCATCATCATTAGGGAGCTGGACACTGGCTATCACCAGGTGGTTTTGTTCATCCGATGTGTGTGTTCCCAGGACAAGTCGATGAATGCTGAAATCTTTCCCCTCGGGCCTGTAATAACAACAAATCATCAACAACAACCACCAATCACTGAGAACTAGCTCCTACTTTAAAAAACAAACAAGTCAAGCAGTGGTGGGCAGACCTTTAATCTCAGAGGCAGAGAGGCAGGCGGATCTTTATGAATCCAAGGCCAGCCAGAGCTGTTACCCAGAGAAGCCCTGTCTCAAAAAACAAAAACCAAAACCAGCCCCAGACATTCACATGGATACTAGAGGACAATTAAGTGACACTAAATCTTAAAATACTACTCATGACTGTGGTGGTGCAGGCCTTTAGTACCAGAACTCAGGAGGTAGAGGTAGGAGGTTTTGCATTGAGTTCCAGGACAGCCTGGTCTACAAAGCAAGTTCCAGGACAGTCAGGGTTCGTACACAGAAAAACCCTAGTTTGAAAATGCAAAACAAAAAGAGGCTATTCACCTATGTTAATACAAGGCTTGCCTTATTGTCTTAGAGCTCACCAATAAGGTTAGCATGGCTTGCTGTGGAGCCTGAGGGTTCCTTCCTATTTCTCCATCACTGAGAGACTTCAGGCATATGCCATCACTCTGCCTTTTGTTTGTCTTGTTTTTAAACATGGGTGTTGGGGATCAACTGCACGGTCCTGATGCTTGCAAGGCAAACACTTTACTGAATCATTACCGAAGCCCCTATTTTCTTTTGAAAAAATAGCACCAGAAAGATGGTTCAGCACTTAACAGTGTTTGCTACTCTTACAGAGGACTTGAGTTCAGTTCCGAGCTCTCATGCTAAGTGATCCACAACTGCCTGAAATTCAAGCTCCAGGAGACCCTGAGCACCCACCCACCCACACTGAGGATGCAGTCACCTTCCTCCAATAGAAATAAAACAAATGACCACCTTTGTGGATCTATTCTTTCTTTCCATCACAAGGATCCAGGTGACCAGAATTAAGTTGTCAAGCTTGGCTATAGGCACTTTTACTCACCGAGTCGACTTGTCAGTCTCTATTTCCTACTATTAATAGCTCTCTATTAAGCACAAATTCAGCACTTAATTTTTACTCTTTTCCCTGTTTATTGGAATAAAAATGTGAGTTAACTACACACCCTTTACAATGGGTGAGAAAAAAATTGCCTGACAGTCTTGTTTACCAAGAACTTTGTGAAGAGGTGAAATAGACAAAAAGAGGAGAGAAGAAACTAGGGCATAAAACCCCATGGTAAAATTTGTGCCTGGTCATATGCGAGAGTTCTTATAATCCCCAAAGAAAAAGAACATTAGCTGGGTGGTGGTAGAGCCCACCTTTGATCCCAGCATTTGGGAGGCAGAGGCAGGTGGATCTGTGAATTCAAAGACAGCCTGGTCTACAGAGCAAGTTACTGAATAGAATACACTGTCCCAGACATTTTGGAAGTAGGGATAATTCTTGCTTTTTACAGAGAACCACTAAGAGAAGCAGGAATGTAAATCATTCAGGGTGACTCCTCAATGGAGGACATACAAACCAAATACCTACTACATCCAGAAAGCGGACAGTGGAGTTACTAATGGCCTGGTGACTTTTTTTGCCACCTGTAGGGACAGACCTTACTCTAATTCCCCAGAATTCTAGACTCTTCCCTCCCTCGACCAATATCCATCCTTAGGTTAAAAAGTACTTTATGGCCCTCTGACCTCTATGCCATCGGTCGGAGACCACATTAGATTATAGGTATTTCATTTAGGTATAGAACTCACCCTCATGTTTGCATGTACTTCGTAAAATAATTTCTATGTAGTCAAACTCTGTGCCTTATTGCACATATGGAATTGAAATGACTGTTACCTGGAAACCTTTCCCCAAGTGTACTATATTTTTTTGTTTTCTCGAGAGAGGGTTTCTCTATGTAGCTTCAGAGCCTGTCCTGGAACTCACTCTGTAGACCAGGCTGGCCTCGAACTCAAGAGATCCATCTGCCTGCCTCTGCTTCTTGAGTGCTGAGATTAAAGGAATGCGCCACCATTGCCCGGCTCCAAATTGTACTGTTTTAAATACGTTGACAATGAACCTCCTGACATTCGACTCCTTGAAGTTGGATCCAGGTTGATGAAGTCAATCTACACAAGGTTTTCATTATTACCTCTTCGTGTGGTTCACTTCCCTGCAAGGAAGGACCCCCCTCAGAACCTAGAGTTGGCTTTCTCTTTCTTTCCTTCCAGTATGTATATATGTACTGTGCTTGTACATACGGAGACCAGAACTTGACAAAGGGTCTCTTTCTTGACCCATTTCCTCCAGACAGACCAAAGACAATCACTCTCTTGAACCCAGAGCTCACTGGTTCTGCTAGTATAGCTAGTTTATTTCAGTAATCCTGTCTCTGCCTCCTGGAATTACAGGTGTGCTGCCATGTCCATCTGGCATTTATACCAGTGCTGAGGTTTGATATGTGGTCCTCACAACTGCTTTATTTAGTGTACGAATGCTTTATATATTTAGGTAAGCAGTCTACCACTGAGCTACATATGCTCCCATCTGAAACATTGAGATGATTACACATGACTCCCTGGAGCTGGAAAGATGACTTGGCAGTTAAGAATACTGGTTCAATTCCCAGTACCTAAATGGAGGTGCACAACTGTCTGTAATTTGGACCCATGGGGTTCCAATGCCATCTTCTGGTCTCAGTAAACCCGCACATAGTATACACACATATATGCAGGCAAAATATGCATACACATAAATTCAAAACAAATAAAAGCAGACAAACACAACTCCTTAAAGAGCCTAGAGTAGATGATGGAGAGATGGTTAAGAGCACTTGCTGTTCTTGCAGAGGAGCTGGGTTCAGTTCCCAGAACCCACATGGCGGCTCACAACTGTCTGGAACTGGAACTCCAGGGATCTGACACCCTCTTCTGGTCTCACCAGGTACTAGGTACAGACACATGCAGGAAAAACAAAAAACTCTGTGCTGGTTAGTCTGTGAACTTGACACACACTTGAATCATCTAGGAAAAAATGTCAATTGAAGAATTACCTCCATCAGACTAGCCTGTAGGCAACTCTGTCTGAGTATTTTCTTGCTTAGTGATTTATGTAGGACCTAGCCCACAATGAGCAGTACCTGGGCAGGTGGGTCTCAGTTATGTTAAGAAAGTAAACTGAACAGACCAGGAAACAGTACTCCTCCATGGCTTCGGCTTCAATTCTAGCTTCCAGGGGTCCATGATGGGCTATAAACTGTAAAGGTGAACCCCCCCCCCCCGCTGTTTTTGGTCATGTTTTTATCACAGCAATAGAAAGCAAACTAAAACACCCATGCATATCAATTTCCTTATAAAGTAAGAGGAGTAATTAGTAATGCACTGGGCGGTGGTGGCGCACGCCTTTAATCCCAGCAGTCGGGAGGCAGAGGCAGGCAGATCTCTGAGTTCGAGGCCACCCTGGTCTACAAGAGCTAGCTCCGGGATAGGCTCCAAAGCTACAGAGAAACCCTGTCTTGAAAAATCTAAAAAAGAAAAGAAAAAAATAAAAAAAAGAAGGAACTTAGACAATGTGGTTGAGATCACACACAGCTACTAAGCCACAGAACCGAGACTAAAGTCCAACTATAGACTAGACTAGAATCCTAGAAAGATGATTAAAATCACCGCCTAATTTCTTGAATATCAGTTTAACGCAGTCTGGATTTTATACTGTGAGAAACAAGGAATACTAAGTTTCAAAGAGACATAGCTTAATACCATTTGTGTTCTCCTAAGAGAGGATAATCAAACACTATAAAGCAGAGTTTCATACCATCAGCCCCAGTACCATAAGATGAAAATTCTTCTATAAAATCACAAGTCTCAGGGAGCAGGAGACACGACGTTTTACAATTCCTTCAGCTGACTGTGTTGTACACTACAACCTAAACCCCTTTGTCAGATGGGAAAGACGCTACACAAACAGTGCCGGATTATGGGCCTGTGCACCATGGAAAGTTTTCTTCTTCAACAGGCTGGCCTTAACTCCTGATCTCCATGCTCCACCTCCTAAGGGCTGGGGCTACAGCTGTGAGCCACCGCGCGCCCTCTCAGCACCAATGGTTTTAATGACCATGAGAACAGATAGAAGTGACTCTTCTAAGCTTGAGTTCCCAACTAGTTTTGAACCTGGTTACATTTTAAAAAGTTCCAACCGCAAACTTCCAGGTGTCTGCCGTGGACTTGGACAGTACCCTTCAAATAAAGGTCTCCACTTTCCCCTACACTGCTGCATAGGCAGCAGCCGCATCCTTCGTTTTTTGGTAATACACACACACACACACACACACAAGAATTTCCTGTTACACACAGAACAGAGATGTAGCTCAGAGGTACTGCCTGCTTACCATGCACAAGGTTCAACTCCTAGCAACCTCAAACAACACAACTCTTCCCTCCCAATTCCTATGAGCTGTTGACCTCAGTCTCACAGCCAGATTCTGTACGTATCTTACTGAGTTACATTCACCTTTATCTCTGTATCGCCACTCGCTCCATTCTGCCAGCTAGTTCTGGTATTAAGTTGACAGATGTTTCGCTTAGCCAGAACATTTTGTGTATGCAATCTCACACTAGGACTCAAGGATCAAAGTCCCTGCCAGTATGCGCTCTGTCACTAAACATCACACCCCCTCAGCCCTCTTGAGGTGTACCTAACTCCTTAGCTAAAGCTCAAACGCCTGCTTCTTCAACCAATGGATTTCTTGAAGGCAGGTCCCTTGCTATCACAAATGACTGAGAATTCAAATGTTTTGTCGAACGAACTGGACACAGAATACTTCTGAAATCTGTCAATTTGTAACATTACACGGTCAGCGACAGTTATAAGATAGCTATTCTACTCAATGCTGAGGATAAAATCCGTTTCTCCAGCTGGGCAAATTACAAAATTATCTTCTGTTTTCTACCCTTACTACGTATTGGTCGAGGAAAATGAACATCACTCAGAGGCTCTGATCATATGCCCCTTCTAGTGGCTGGAGAGAAAAACAAAACAAAACACCAACTCAGGATCTGAAATACCAAAGAAGTAATATTCAAGAGATTGGTGTTACCTGGTAACATCTGGAAGCCACTGGGCAGTTAAACTGGGCCACTCCAGGGCATGGGTCATCACCAAATCATAAAGAAAAGGGGTGTTTTTCTTCCATATTTTGTACTCCTCGTTAATCACACGTTCTTCCACCGCGTCGTCAAAGGCAGCTAAATTAAAAAAAAAATGAGGTTAGTGGACAGAAACGGAAAACAAGCAAACCTCTTCAAAGACACCGGCGCGGCTCCCCGGTTCTGACACCGAAATGGAGATTCGTCTTAATCTCTCCCAGGGCGCAGGCACCAACGCTGCTCTCCGCCGCGGAGGGCCGGAAGTCCTCGGGCCACCCGAGCCAGACACTCCGTTACTCGGCCGGCTTCGAGGCACGCTGGCGCTCGCCAAGTCCACCAAACCCAGAAGGAGGCCTGTGCACCGGGCCCCAGCAGGCAGAGGGACCGACAGAGAGTCGCCATCGCCCGCCCCGAGAGCTGGCGTCGCCCCGCATCCGCTCCGGAGGAGCCAGCGCGCCGTTAGCCCGCCCCGCTGGAGTCGCTGCGATCGGGCTCGCCAGAGTGGGGCCTGCTCTCCGGATTAGGCCGCGTAACAAGCCACGACACAGCCCCGCCACCCTGCGCCTCCTTCCTCAGCCCGCCTCGGCATACTCACCTTCCTTGTCAGCCATGGCGGTAGGCGAGCCGGGAGGGGTTTGGGGATCCCGGGGTCGTGCGTTGCAGGAGGCACGGGGAGGCGACGGGCGCTCGCTCCGCGCGCGCGGCCTCTATTGTTTCCTGCGGCCCGTGCGTGGGGGGCCGGCTCGCGGGCCTTCGCGCCAACATCGGCCAATGGGAAAGCGGGAGCCGGCGGGGTGGGCGGAGCATCCACAGCCGCGGCCAATGAAGACGCACACAGTCGCTTTTTCGCGGGGCCCGGGCGCGCGCTCCGCCCCTCCCCCCAGGCCGGATCATTGCGCGCGCGCACCGCCTGCTGGGACGATTCCCGTGCGGGTCACGTGACAGGTTTAGTCTTCACACGCTCACGCGCAGCCATTTTCTTCGGGGCCCGTTATGCTAACGACTCCTTCAGGGTAGCGAAAGAAATTTGAAGTGTTTCCGGGTCTGGTTAGCAACTCCGAGGAGAAAAATGCATCACCGTTTAGACTTACAGGTGCCTAAATCAAGGTGTCTTTTAACTTACTCCCTTCGATTTTAGGAAGAACTAGTAGTAATAAGTGCAAAAAATAGGGTACTTATTACTACTGATCTATTAAAACATGCTATGTAGAAGGCAGGACCTAGGCTGGAAGGCGCAAGAGATAGTATTCTTCCGCCAGCCCCGAGAATAGAGAGTCCTGGACCTTTTAGCCTGGCTGCCAAGGGGTGGGGTGTAGGGCGGAAGTTATGGCGCAGGGCCGAAGTTTAGCTGCTGAAGGGCGGAAGTAGAGTCCCGAAGTCTTGCAATCATGGCTCAAGAAGAGGAAGATGTAAGAGATTACAATTTGACGGAGGAACAGAAGGCGATCAAGGACAAGTATCCTCCGGTCAATCGAAAGTACGAATGTGAGTAGGTGGCTCACGTCTCTTGCGGCTGGGCGACCTCAGCGGCTTACCTGCAGCTTCCTGTCTCGCCCATTCTTTGCTCCACAGGTGCTCCTGGTATAATCTCAAGTGTGCCCGCATTGTAGATCGTTTTGTACATAATATGGGGGAAAGTGAAGAAAAATATGACTTTATTGGGGAAGAAGAAACCTGAGCCTCTGCTTCTCCTTATAGTCTCCTAAAGGTCCACGTGTGGCTAAACCACTTTTCACTTTCTTCTCAGGGGATGTAGCTCAGTGGTATAGCGCTTGCCCAACATTTATCTTTATAAATTATACTAGCGTTCTAGTTGTATTTTCGAGCGTTTTCTGGGTTGTCGTCCTCAAGTTTCTCCCAGTAGAATAGTGTGACCACGTTAGATGACTGGGAAAGAAATCAAGAGATGTGTGTCTCTGCCTGTCTGTCTCCACAGCCCAAGGTTGGATATTATTATATTCTTAATGAATATATTGCATCACGTTAAAATATTTCTTATTTGAAATAAGAAATACCACTTTAAACTTTCACACAATAAGTTATTTTTCACAGAAATGTGATTTATGTTCATTAAGATAGGGTTATTGTTATTTTTAAATGAGTATTTTGAGATTGTTGGGTTTTTTTTCTTTTTTTGTTAAAGTCCTTGTGTCAGCCTCCACACCTTTAATTACAGCACTCGGCGGGAAGAGGCAGGAAGATCTCTGAATTTGAGGCCAGCCTGGTCCACACAGTGAGTTCCAGGACAGTCAGGGCTACAGAGTAAAACCTTGTCTCAGTAACAAACAAGGCTCTTGTGTCTTTAATGGGTCTGCTAGACCAGTGCATGAGCTAGTCTACCACTGAGCTTCAGCTCTGAAGTAATCTTTGAAGATAGGGTTTCTGAGATGAAAGAATTGGAGAACCACCCTGTGTAGCAGTAGGTCATCTTTTTATAAAATTTTAAAGAATTGAGTATAACTAACATATACAGGAGTAACGTGTTAAAGTGCTTTTCCTTTTTTGTGACAGGGTTTCAGTCTAACCCCCACTGGCCTGGATCTCACAGTGTGGACCAAACTTAGAATGATCCTCCTGTCTCCCCTTCCCTGGTGCTGGAGTCACAGACTTGAGCAACCATACCTGTCCCCAATTATTATGACTGCTAAACAGATAACACCTGTGTGAGCAGCTCTCGTTTTGAAATAGGACAGTTCTGTTATCTTAGAACATTCCCTCGGTTCCTTTCTAGCCTCTTATTCTTGAAGCCATTTCCTATTGTATTTTCTATTCCTAGAGTGTAATTTTTTGTTAGTGGTTCATATGAATGAACTCATGCTCTCTTCTTTTATGTTGGGGGCTTCTTCACCCCCATCAAAGGTAGCACAGGCAGACACAAATTGGAGTACAGTAACGCTGATGGTGAGTTTGAGCTTCACTCTCTTCACATAGAGACTGTTTTACAAGGAGAATGAGGAAGGCAGGGCAGGGCTCCTAAGTCAGGAGTAACAAAGTACAAAAGGTTAGTCATTATAATTGCTATAGTCAGCAAGCCAAGGCCAGCCAGTTCTGTCTGTTCCCTGACAGTTTTGGAAGTTTGAGTTCTAGCCTCCCACAGACTTGAGACAAGAGGCTGGGCTGTGAGAATGCTAACATCTTAAAGAACAGGTCCTTGGAAAGATTATTTGGAGCCGGAAAGGATACATATTCACAGTTTTTGGGCTTCTTTGATACTTGCTGTAAAATAGGGAGATTAGGAGCCTTTTATCAAGTGTTGGCTAGAACAAAAAGGGAATTCTCCAACCTCTCTTAGGCTTTTCTCAGGCAAGCATTTTAACTGACCTGTGCTCTATCTGAGATGTGGCCTTCTGCTACTAGAAGCCATAATAGACTTTGGTCAAATGCGGGTGTTCTGATAAAGCAGTTATATACTATGAGTTCTGCAGTTCCCAACAATATTTTGAGAGTTATGTTAATGCTTATTTATTTATTTAATTGGTTGTAGCAGAGATTGAAATCAGGGTAATTCTCTACTCCTCTACTGATCTCCATCCCTAACTCCCCTCCTTTTAAACTTACTTTCATTGGGGTCCGTGGTCTTTGGAAACATGAAGTTCTATGAACTTCATACTTGAGCTCAATACATATACCAGACTGGTCTCAAACTGATGATCTTCCTGCCTAAGCCTCCAAAAAACCTCCGCTGTAGTACCAGCTCTACTTGCAACCAGTGGTGTAGTCTATAATTAGGCATATGTTCTCTGTGGATTTCAGGGCTCCTTACTCTTTCTTCATCTTTTCTTTTTCTTTGCTTTATTTTCTGTTCCTGCTCAATATTAAATGTAAAACATTGCACATGTTAGACAAGTACTCTACCACTGAGCCACATCCCAGTCCTCAGGCTTTTTATAAGTCAAGGGATTATATTAAACGACCTCTAAGAATTCCTGCTAGTGGGAAGGATTCCTAGTGGCATACATCCTTAATTCCAGCACTCGGGAGACAGACAAGAGAATTTATGCCAGCCTGGTCTACATAGTGAATTCCAGGCCAAACAGAATTATACAGTTAGATCCTGTCTCAAAGCAAAACAAGTGGAAAGAATTGATGAAAAGCATGAACCAGGCAAAAAGCATACTGGAAAGGAGGAGATGACCATCTCAGTGGGGCTTGCAGTAGAGCTGATGTGGTCTGGTTGTTATGAGAACAGCAGGAACACTCATTGTATAGCTTGTGGAGTTGGCCTTCCTATTCAGGGTTAGACTAGCTAGTCAGGAAAAGTAATGGATGCCAAGAAACATGTATTGAGAGGTCAACATGTAAGACACCTAACACACAGGAGGTCTTGCTGTGTCACCCAAGGTATCCTTGAACTGGGCTCAAGTGATCAGCTTCAAACTCAGAGTAGCTGGGACTGCAGGAACCCATCTCTGCACCCAACTTAGATGTTTTAGGATCCCTACAAGAAGCTTGGTGGTGCGTGCTTATAATCCCAGCACTCCAGATGGAGGTTGAGGCAGGAGGATCAGACCAGCCGGGACTGCATTGGGAGACTCTGTGTCTAAAACCAAAGCAGAATGAGACAAAACACCTAGAAGACTCCTGCCTTGGTACTTTCCAGAATTTGTCATTCGTTTAAATGTGAACCAAGTGGGTAGGCTATTTTGTTTATAAAATAATACTAGGAAAGACTTAACTTTATTGAGTATGTAATAAAAGGTCTAACTTCCTTGTGCTTTTCTACTTTTAAGAATTTTTCTCTAATTTTTTGAAGATTTGTTTATGCTTCATGTGTATGAGAGTTTTGAGGGATATATATATGTGTACCACTTGCATGTCTATTACCCATTAAGGTAATTGGATCCCCTGGAACTGGAGTTACAAGAGATTGGGATCCCCCATTCAGTGCTGCAAATCCACATTTTCTGCAACCAGCAAGTGCTAATGGATGAGCCATCCATCCAGCACCATCTCTTTTGTTTGCTTTAGCTTCATATATGTGATGTGTCAGTGTATATGTGGATGTGAGTGCACATGTGTATAGAAGTCAGGACAACCTTGTATGTCAGTCCTTTTCTGCTTTCCTTCTTTCTTTCTTTCTTTTTTTTTCAAGGCAGGGTTTCTCTGTGGAACTAGTTGTATAGACCAGGCTGGCCTTGAACTCACAGAGATTTGCCTGTCTCTGCCTCCCGAGTGCTGGGGTTAAAGGCAAGCACCACCATCACTTGGCATTTTCTGCTTTCTTTGAGACAGGGTTTCTTGGCCCAGGAATATCTAGATCAGTGGTTCTAAACCTTCCTGATACTGCGACCCTTTAAAACAGTTCCTCTTGTTGTGCTGACCCCCAACCATAAGATGTTTTCATTGCTACTTCATAACTGTAATTTTGCTACCATTATGAATTGTAATGTACATATGTGTGTTTTTGTTTTTTGTTTTTTTTTTAAGATTTATTTATTTATTATGTATACAACATTCTGCCTCCATGTGTGCCTGCAGGCCAGAAGAGGGCACCAGATCTCATTACAGATGGTTATGAGCAACCATGTGGTTGCTGGGAATTGAACTCAGGACCTCTGGAAGAGCAGCCAGTGCTCTTAACCTCTTGAGCCATCTCTCCAGCCCCATATGTGTGTTTTCTGATGGTTTTAGGTGACCCCTGGGAAAGGATCATGACCCACAGGTTGAGAACCACTGATACAGTGATTCTTGTTTCCTCTTCCAGTTTTCTGTAAGCATACTAGAATAATCGATGTGTGTGCTGCTGTGTCTGACTTTAACATGGGTTCTGGAGATCAGAATTCTTTTCATAGTGCCTTGCACAGCATGTGCTTTTACCTACTAAGCCATCTCTCCAGGGTACACTATTTCGTGTGTGTGTGTGTGTGTGTGTGTGTGTGTGTGTGTGTGTGTGTGTATGGAGGGGGGTGAAGGATGCATGCATGGGTCAAAGGACAATTTCCAGGAGTTAGTCTTCTCCTTCCACTAGGTGGTTCAGTACAGTAAGTGCCTTTAGCCACTGAGCCATTTCCTTGCCTTTTTTTTAAAAAAAAAATATTTATTTGTTTTATGTATATTAGTATCCTGTCTTCATACACACCAGCAGAAGGAATCAGATCACATTATAGATGGTTGTGAGCCACTATGTGGTTGCTGGGAATTGAATTCAGGACCTCTGGAAGAGTAGCCAGTGCTCTTAACCACTGAGCCATTTTTCTAGCCCCCTCTTTCTCTCTCTCTCTCTCTCTCTCTCTCTCTCTTTTTTTTTTTTTAAAGATGCGGCATTACTGTATACCAGGATTTAGTAGCTTGGGCTGGGCTAGAATTTGTGATCCACCTGGCTTGGCCACTTAAGTACTAGGATTACAGGTGTGAGCCTAATATCCCACTAGGATGATGTTCTTAATGAGTAACAATAAGCCAGAGATCCTTTTAACTGCTGTTTATGCCTGATGCCTGTTAATGCCCTAGAGTAATTTTTGTATGTTTTGAGGATCAAGTTGAGTGGCTTACATATATTTTTCCCTTTCTCCCTCAGATTTGGATCATACGGCTGATGTCCAGTGAGTACAAGAGTTATTCCTGAAAACTATGTCTTTAAATAAAAGGATGAATGTTTTAATTTTTTAATAAAAAATTTTTAATTGCATTTACTTTTCCAAGATTTATTTTATTGCCAGGCGGTGATGGTGCACACCTTAAATCCCAGCACTTGGGGGGCATAGGCAGGCAAATCTTTGTGAGTTTGAGGCCAGCCTGGTCTATAGAGTGAGTTCCAGGACAGGCTCCAAAGCTACAGAGAAACCCTGACTCAGGAAAAGAAAATAAAAGGATCTATTTTATTATGTGTATGAATATTTTGCCTGAATATATATATGTACCATATGTGTCCCTGGAGCCTGAAGAGATCAGGAGGGGTGGTCAGATGGGATTGGAATTAAAGATGGTTGTGAGACACCATGTGCGTACTAGAACTGGAACCTGGGTCTTCTGCAAGAGCAAGAAATGCTCTTAACCACTAAGCCAACTCTCCATTTCTATCTTTTCTTTTTAAAGATTTATATTTATTATGTATATAGTGTTCTGCCTATATATGTCCCTACAGGCCAGAAGATGGCACCAGATCTCATTACAGATGGTTGTGAGCCACCATGTGGTTGCTGGGAATTGAACTCAGGACCTCTGGAAGGGCAGTCAGTGCTCTTAACCTCTGAGCCATTTCCCATCTCTCCAGCCCCCTATCTTTTTTTTTTTTTTTTTTTAAGATAGGGTCTCACTGTATAGCCCTTACTGGCCTGGAATTTGTTATATAGATCCACAGATCAGGCTGGCCTCAAACTCATAGAGATCCACCTTCCTCTGCCTCCCAAGTGCTGGAATGAAAGGCGTGCCCCACCATGTAATTACATTTTTATTTATTTTGTGTGGTGTGTGAGAGAGAGACGCATGTGTGTGGAGAAAACATGAGTGCTACAGTGTATGTGTGAAGGTCAGAAGGCAAACTGGGGGAGTCAGGCTTGGTGGCAAGCACCCCTACCTGCTGAGCCAAGTTCTGGCCCAAGTGTATTTCTTTCTCCTTTTATTTTGTTTTGTTCTAAATGTCAAATGATGGTCTAAAAGCATCCAGTTTTGATGCCTTTAAATTAGACATCTATTTTTATATTTATTAAATTGATTTTTTTTTACTTTGTTGTGGAATTTTCTCTCTTGTAGTGGATTATATTATAAACACTGTGGCTCCTTTTATTTTTGTCTTAATTTTAATTTTTATATTTTTAGGTTACACGCATGGGGAGATACCCTGGAGGAGGCATTTGAACAGTGTGCCATGGCCATGTTTGGTTACATGACAGATACTGGCACTGTGGAACCCCTCCAAACAGTAGAAGTAGAAACACAAGGTAACTGATTTATTCTCAAGGGAAAATTATTATATCTGAATGTATTGTCACAGTAAGAACAATAGGATGGATTATGAATCTTAAATGAGCCAGAGAACATCATTGTACTTTAACCAAACTCCGAGAGAGCAGTCACTAAACGTCACCCTGTCGTGGTCCCTTGTCCCTGTGTAGGAGATGACTTGCAGTCTCTGCTGTTTCACTTTTTGGATGAGTGGCTTTACAAGTTCAGTGCTGATGAATACTTCATACCCCGGGTAAGCACGGGGTTTGGTTTCCTTGTTTGCTGAGCAAGTAGGCTCTTCATTCATAAATTGAGCAAATAGTTGAAAATAAGGTATATGATCCAAAACCATTTCCTTTAAGATGTGGGTTTTGTTGTTATTGTTTTTAAAGATTTATTTATTTACTTACTTAATGTACACTATACTTAATGTCTCGCCTGCATTTACTCTGTGTGAGGGTGTTGGATCCCCTAGAACTATAATTATAGACAGCTATGAACTTCCATGTGGGTGCTGGGAATTGAACCTAGGTCCTCTGGAAGAACAGGCAATGCTCGTAAACCGCTGAGCCATCTCTCCAGCCCCAGTTGTTGTTGTTTTTTAAGACAGGGTTTCTCTGTAGCTTTGAAGCCTATCTTGGAACTCTCTCTGTAGACCAGGCTGGTCTCAAACTCACAGAGATCCACCTGTCTCTGCCTCTTGAGTGCTAGGATTAAAGGAATGTGTCATAGCCACCTGGCTTGATTTTAGGTTTCTTAATGGAAAAAAAGAAAGGAAAAGGCAAATGCAAAATGCTAACTGAGGTCAACCGCCAGGACACCTGTCCAGCATCTGACACACGGCCCCTGTGTTTGCAGAAGTCCATCTGTCCCTCTTTATCAGCTCCTCACATAGATCCCTCTGAGTCACTCCTCCCACAAAGTTGAAGAGGGCAGTGTCGTTACAGACGGACTGACCACAATTAGAACTGTGCATCTCCTCTAAAGAGATATTCTCTTAACTTTTTCCTTGTTGATGCTGGGATTTAAGGTTGCACATCCCGAACACCGTGATCTACTACAGCTATTCCTGCAACAGCCCCTTGACTCAGTTACCTATGGAACCATGAGACAGGGTTTCATGTAGCTTAACTGGCCTCATTCACTTTGTGGTGAAGCATTGCCTTCAACTCCTGATCCTTCTGTTTCTATCTCCTGTGTGCTTCAGGCATGTGGCAGCACACCTGGCTTTCACTGCTGGATTTAGAATGTCTATTTCTCAAGGATACTTCCCTTGAAAAAATAATAAAAGACCTTGTTTTCTTGTGCTTTACTTTACTTGACATTTTAATTTTCTTTGTTTCAGAGAAGTATGATACTGTATTCTAGAAAATGTGATAAGCTAGAGGTATATTAGTAAATGTCCCAATATGAATTTGGTTTGTTTTTGAGACAGGGTCTTACTCCTTATCTCATGTGGCCCTGGCCTGAGGGCCCTCGCCTGAGTTCAAGAACTCGGGTTATAAACATTTGCCAAGTATATAAGTATTATATACTTGGCTGACTTTTCTTTTTCTAAATAATGATTTTCTGGGCTGAGCTTGTAGCTCAGTTGGAAGAATACTTACTTAGCATTCCCAAAACCCTGGTTTCAATTTCTGCCTCTCCATAAAAGCCACCATGGTGACACATGCTTGTGATCCTACCACTGTGGAGATGAAGGCAGAAGGATCTGGAATGCATGGTTATCGTTGGCTATATTTTGAGGCACACTTGACTAAATGTATGGCCTTGTCTAAAATATAATTTTAAAATAAAGTTAATTAACTAGTTAATAATTAAAATGTTAATTTTTTTCTTTAGGAAGTGAAAGTACTCAATATTGATCAAAAAAATTTCAAGTTACGGTCAATTGGGTAAGTTTTGAAACTAGTTATGTAGCAAGTTATGAAAGAAGTTAAAATATAGTCTCCATTGATTCCAGTGGAACAAATACCAATGGTGAGTCAGGAGAACTGCACCTTGCTAGCCCTGGAGGTTGAGCTGAGGGAAACCCCCAGGAGTGTGAGCTCACCTGAGTGTTAAAGACTTGGGAACCTGTGGAAATAAAGTTCTTTCTGACTCCTAAGCTCGACTCCCAATTTCAAATGTTTTATTTTATATGTGTGGGTGTTTACCTGCATGCATGTTTGTTCACCACATGTGTGCCTAGTGTCTGCAGAAGACAGAAGAGGGTGTCATATGCCCTGGAACTGGAGTTATAGACAGTTGTGAGCTGCTGTGTGAGTGCTGAGAACTGAACCTGGGTCGTCTGGAAGAGCAGCCAGTGCCCTTAACCACTGAGCCATCTCTCCAGCCCTCAAGATGATCCCAGCCATTGCTATTTGGTTTTTCAAGATAGAATAGCCCTGTCTGTCTTAGCACTCACTTCGTAGACCATGCTGCCCCTAAACTCAGGGCTCTGCCTGCCTCCACCTCCCAGTGCTATGATTAAATGTGTGCCACCAGCTCAGCTCAATCCCTATTTTGTTAGCAACATCTAAAACATAATTAGAGCCCGTAGATCATGTACTTTGTTCTCCATTAGACCTGTGCATCTTACTCATCCGATCCTGCCATCTTTTTCTGCTTCTCCAGTTTGGGACTACCTTTATAACGCTTAATAAAAAATAGAAAATTGTAGAAATAATAACCATGTTTTTAACTTTCCTTCTCAAGGTGGGGAGAAGAATTTTCACTGTCCAAGCACCCTCAGGTATGTTTAGGAGTCTAGCCCTTGAAAGCATTTCATTCTCTTTTACATAGAATCTGCGAATGTGAAAGTAAACTCAGTTTTAATTGGTGTGAAGTGGCAGGTTTGTGCAAGCGTCTCTTACCCAGCTGAATGATTCATGCATCTGTTTGATCAGTTAGCAGTCAGCCTTAGAGGCTCAAGAGTCAAGTTTGTTACAGATTGTGAAGAATTTTTTTTTTTAAATATTTATTTATTATGTACACAGTGTTCAGTCTCCATGTATGCCTTCAGGCCAGAAGAGGGCACCAGATCTCATTACAGATGGTTGTGAGCCACCATGTGGTTGCTGGTAATTGAACTCAGGACCTCTGGAAGAGCAGTCAGTTCTCTTAACCTCTGAGCCATCTCTCCAGCCCCGATTGTGAAGAATTTTAAAGTCTGGTTTTTTTCTTTGTTTGATTGGACTTTTTGCTTGCTTTTTGAAGTAGAATCTCTTCACCTCTTAACCTCTGTCTGTCTTTCACTAGACTGGAACTCACTATGTAGACCAGAGATCTCCTTGTCTCTTCCTGCCTCTGGAGGACTGAAATTACAGGCACTGGCCACCAGAGACTTGGTCTCATCCTCAATGAAGATGCTGGGAAAAATGTTCTCTCTCTGTCTCTCTGGGAACTGGATGTAGGGCTTGTGCATGCTGAACAAATGTTCCTCTACTGAGCTATATCTCCAGCCCTCTTTATACTTTTCCTTTTTTTCAAAGATTTTTTTATTATGTATACAATGTTCTGTTTGCATATATTCTTGCATGCACTAGATCTCATTACAGATGGTTGTGAGCCAACATGGGTTGCTAGGAATTGAACTCAGGACCTCTGGAAAAGCTGCCGGTGCTCTTAACCTCTGATCCATCTCTCCAATCCCCCTCTGTTTACTTTTAAAATTCATTTGGAAATCTAGGTGTAGTGGTACACACCTTTGATTCCAGCCCTCAGGAGGAAGAGACAAGAAAATCTGTGAGTTCGAGGCCAGCCTGCTCTACATAGCAAGTTCCAGGACAGCGAAAATCACATGGAGACCCTGTCTCAAACAAACAAATTCATTTGGAAATGACTGCAGAAAGGGGGACAGACTAGTAACATAGTTAGTTAGCTGAGGAAGACTGTGGTCAATAAAGAAGCAGAGTTTTATTCTATCTGGTTTTATTTAGCTAGGAGGTTTTGTAGCAGGTTTATATGCAAAGCGGAAATGAGTAAGGAGGGAGAGATACACTGGAGAGGGAGAGGATGTGGAACGTTGTTAAGTGGTGTGGAATCGGCTCATAGGTGTAGAGTTGGCCTTCTGATAGGCCTGGGACAGGCCATTCATTACTGCAGGAACAGTGGATAGAGGTCAGAGTGGATGATGGATTGACTGTGGATATATGAGTTACTTCTTACTGACAGCTCTTACCTTCTTTAAGAAGCATTGTTTATTGAGAGTGAGAATGGAGAGGAGATGCCTAGGGAGAACATGTGAAGTGTCCCTGGGGGAAGAAAAGTTGTAGATTACTGGTCAGTAAGCAGCCACTTGAGATACATATGCATGTATGCCTCAGGTGGAAACACTGTGTGCCTGGGTGGAAAGTAGAATTTGACTTAGGTGATGATAGAGGGGAAACTACAAATGGCTCCACTGATCTCCTGTGGCATCTTCACATTTCACATGTCTTGTGCATTAGAGCTAGCCGTTCCACTCACCTCTTACCTGGTACATTATTATTACAGATTCTTTATAGAGTTGGAAGAAACGTAAGAGACATCTAATCCTTTTGTTCTAAAGTGGGACAGGGTGTGGGCTACTGTCATGTATCAGAATCCTGGGAGAGCTCTGACCTGTGTCATTCTCTCTCACTCTCTAGCCAGACCTGCAAAGGAAAGAATCCGTAAGGAGTGGGCAGGGACAAGGGGAGTCCTGGGCTAGTGTAGAAAAGCTTGTGTTGTTTGGTCTGACTCATTTTATAAATAAAAAAAACCAGACCTGTGCCCAGCCAGTTCGATGGCCTCCCCGACTAGCCAGCTGGTACCTGCATTAGCGCTGGCTCCTGCAGGTCTCACGGCTCTTCGTTGTGCTCCGCTCATTTTCTCAGGCCAGCACACCCTCGGTACTCACTATAGCCACCAGTTTCTCGTGTCAGAATTGCAGTTGGACTTTCTGCCAGTTCCCACCAAAGATTCTAAATCCAGTTTCTTTCTTTTTCCTTTAACTCCAACTTCAGGGAACAGAAGTCAAAGCAATAACGTACTCGGCAATGCAGGTCTACAATGAAGAGAAACCTGAAGTGTTTGTAATCATCGACATTTAAGATACCAAAGAAAGGAAGAAAGAAAGACTCTTAGGAAGAGCTAACTTGTTGTCTTCCTTTTAACAAAATGCAACGATTTATTTTCTATAGTGTCTTTGCTAAATGGAACTAGAGAACTGGGAATTTACAGTATGACTTCTGAAATGGAAAACCAGTGTGCAACCTTGGTCTGTGAGTCCTAGGTAATGAATTCTTCGATTTTTGAGGAACAGTCTTGTACTTGATCATTTGCAGCAGTAGCCTTACACCTTCTGGTGGAATGCAAGCACTCCAGCCTGGTCTCAGAAGGGATGCATTCAATTCCAAACAAAATAATTTGAGCCAGTTATGACAGACAGTCTATGCCTGTGATCACAACCCTCAGGATCCTGAGCTTGAGGCCAGCTTTGGCTGTAGAATGAGTTTGAGGCTAGCTTGGGCAATTTAACATGGCCGTGTCTCAAAAAAGGAAAGTATAGAGCAGGGAGAGCATGCACCATGAGTTTGTGTTTTTTAGGTTGCTAAGGGACAGGGCCATCCTGTGTTCCAGCTGGTTCTGAGTGGAACCCTTGGGAAAATGGACTAGAGCTGTCCTGGAACTTGCTTTGTAGACCAACCTGGCCTTGAACTTGCAGAGATCCACTTGCTTCTGCCTCCCAAGTGCTGGGATTAAAGGCGTGCACCACCATCACCAGGCCCTGATAGCAATGATACTTCATATTTTCTTTTTCTTTTTTTTATGGTTTATTTAACTTTATTTTATGTGCATTGGTGTGAAGGTGTCAGATCCCCTGCAACTGGATCTTCAGACAGTTGTGAGCTGCCATGTATGTGCTGGGAATTGAACCTGGGTCCTCTGGAAGAGCAGTCATTGCTCTTAACTACTGAGCCATCTCTCTAGCCCCAAATTCATATTTTCTTAGAAGAAATGTCTAATACTGTACCTTACATATAGACCCTTAGACATATAATTTTATTTATTACTTATTTTCACAGTGTTGGGGATTAAGCCCCATCACAGTAACTGAGGGCTTTACCACTGAGTGTATAGTTCAGCCCTAAAGTGAAATTTTACTTATGTTTACTTATTTATTGTTTTTTTACCAGACAGGGTTTCTTTGTGTATCACTAGCTGTCCTGGAACTCACTGTATAGACAAGGCTGCCTCGAACTAAGAGATCTTCCTGTTTTTGCCTCCAGAGTGCTGGAATTAAACACGTACACTACCACTAACTGGCTTTGTTACTTTTTTTGTTTTGTTTTTTGTTTTTGTTTTGAAGACCAGGTCTTGCTATGTAAACCAGATTGGCCTTGAGCTCATTGTGCCCGCCTCTGCCTACTAAGTACTGGGATTAAAGGTGTACCCCCAATAGATTATAATTTTATTAAAAACAGTCTATGCATACAATTAGAGAAGAAAAATGTTTTTAGTATTTTTTAATGGCTCAGACATGGTAGTACATACTTTAAATCTCAGCAGAAACAAATGGATCTGAGGCTCTGAAGCTAGCCTGGTCTACATAGTGAATTCCAGGATGGTCAGCTCTAGAGAGAGACTCAATCTCGAAAAACCAAATTAAAAAATGCTCTTGATTTGATTTGAAGCTTTAATTTCTCTTAAGGGATTCTCTCAGGATCAAGTATGCAAAGCTGGCCTTGTTTACAAGACTCTGAGGGTTCCACTGTGTGGTGCCAGATTTCATCACAGGCTCTGCAGGCTGCATTATTTTCTCTGGTTATCTAATACAGATAGTAGTATTAATGAAGATGAGGCCAAGAAAAGCAGCCCCAAAAATGACTGTAACAGGATGACTGAGGATATTGCTTCTTTTTTTGCTTTTTTTGTTTTTCTAGACAGCTTCTTTGTGAAACAGCCATAGCTGTCCTGGAACTCACTCTGTAGACCAGACTGGCCTCAAACGCTTAAGAGGTCCACCTGCCTCTGCCTCCTGAGCTGGGATTAAAGGCATGTGCAGCACCATTGCCTAGTGGGAATTGCTTCTTACTGCCTTACTCAGGCACATTTGGTCGATTTCAAGTATAGCTCTCCTGGCAAAAATATTTGAGTTCGGTTCCCAGCACACAACAGCCTGTCACTCCAGCCCCAGAGATCCAGTACACCCACAGGCATCCAGGGACAAGAGTAATTAAAAATAAGATTGGAGCTGGACTGTGGTGGTACACGCCTGTAATCCCAGCAGCACTTGGGAGGCAGAGGCAGCTGGATCTCTTGAGTGTTCGAGGCCAGCCTGGTCAATAGAGTGAGTTTCAGGACAGCTGGGGCTACAAAACAACCTGTCTTGAAAAACCAAATTTAATTAATTAAAAATATAAAAGCAAAAATAAAAGAAAAACTCCACAGTACACAGAACTAATTACCCTTTATATGGCAAATGGCAGGCTTAGGGCCTTTTTTTTCCTTTTCTGAGGTGTGCACTTTTACTAAACTGGTCAGTGTATAGGTAAGTCCTGGCTGTCTGGTGGGTTTTTGTTTTGTTATTTTTTAATGGGCCCTTTTGCTTAACATGATCTACTGAGACTCAGTTGTGAAAATAATCAGTGGAATACTATGAAAGCAGAACCAGAGTCGGTAAGGAGGGCTTTGAGGTCTTTTTCAAACAGTGTCAGAGGCTGGTGAGAAGGTTCACTGGGTAGAGCACCAGGCAGCAGCAGCCTGACAATTGGCGTTCAGTCTCCAGAGCAGATGATAGAAGAGAACCAGTGTTCTGACGGCCTCATGTGTGCCACCCCCAACCCCAGCATACATATAATAAATGTTTAAAAAAAAATACTGGGGCTGGAGAGATGAAGATGACTCAGTGGTTAAGCACTTACCATTTTTCCAGAGGACCTGAGTTCAGATCGCAGCATCCACACTGGGTGGTTCACAGACATGTAATTCCAGCTTCAGTAGATTTGATGTCCTCTTGTCTCTTGGCATCACACTACACGTATGTTAAAAAAATTATTTTTATTTTGTTGTTTTTGAGACAGAGTCTCCATGTGGCCCTGGCTTCCTGGAACTTAAGAGATCTCCCTGCCTCTGCCTCCTGAGTGCTGGGATTAAAGGTGTGCACCAGCACCACCACCACCTTTTTGTTTTGTTTATCAGATTGGCATGTGTCTTTGTTTATTTTTTTTATTTATTGCATATCAATCCCAGTTCCCCTTCCTCCTCTTCTCCTGCTCCTCCCCCCACTTTCCCCCACCTTACCCCCCATCTGCCCCTCAGAGAGGTTAAGGCCTCCCCTGGGAATTCAGCTAAGTCTGTCCCATCATCTCATTGAGGCAGGACCAAGGCTCTCCGCGCCATGCCTAGGTTGACCAAGGTCTTTCCCATAGAGAATGGGCTCCACAAAGTCAGTTCATGCATTAGAGTTAGATCCTGGTGCCACTGCCAGTGGCTCCATATACTGCCCAAACCACACCATTGTACCATATGCAAGGTGCCTAGTTCGGTCCTATGCATACAGTGTTCTGCCTGATGCTAGGAGAAGGCAACAGATCTCATTATAGATGGCTGTGAGCAGAGCAGCCAGTGCTCTTAACCCTGAACCATCTCTCCAGCCTGTTTTTTTTTTTTTTTAAGTTAAAAAAATCCTAGGGGGCTGGAGAGGTGGCTCAGAGGTTAAGAACACTCACTGATTGCTCTTCCAGAGGTCCTGAGTTCAATTCCCAGCAACCACATGGTGGTTGACAACCATCTGTAATGAGATCCGCTGCCCTCTACTGGCCTATAGGATATACGTAGGCAGAATACTATATATATAATAAATAAATAAATCTAAAGAAAAAAAATCCTAGCCAGGCGGTGGTGATGCACGCCTTTAATTCCTGCATTCAGGAAGCAGAGACAGGTGGATCTCTGAGTTTGAGGCCAGCCTGGTCTACAAAATGAGTTAAGGAGAGACTCCAAAGCTGCAGAGAAACAGTCTCTCAAAAAACAAAATCCCCAAACTATGTCAGGTTAGCACAGTAAACATTTCATAACTCCAAGCACTCACGAGACTGAGACAGGAGGACCGTGAGTTTGAGGCCAAATTTGGGCTTTGTAGTAAGACCTCGTTTCAAACAAGTCAGGTCACACACAGACTTGCACCACACCAGGCCAGGGTATCGTTCTTGATCCTTCAGCAGTGAATGTTTTATTTGCTTATTTTTGGTTCACTTAAAATGGCCTTGCTGACTGGCACCACAGTCACCTGCAGGTTTCACAAGTGTGTCTTAGCTCAGGGAGGCGATGTCTCTCATAAAATATCCCCACGTTGCTTTTTCATTTTGTTTTACTTTTTGTCTCCACATTTTCTCTCACCCAGAAATATATCACTTGTCTTCTCAGCCTCCTTGCTGAGGGTTACCTCTCCTAATTTTGTAAAGCAGGGATAGCAGACATTTTCCAGAGAAGCCTGGTGCCCAGTGGGTGTGGCAGGGTTGAGCAGAGGGGTTTCTGCTGTTTGAGGCCAGCTGTCTCAGCCTCAACCCTTGAGAGCTGGAGTACAAGCCAAGTGTCACATTTTTCATGATGTCCCAGAAGATGAGTTTTAAATCTCTTTTCCCTCCCTCCGTCCCTCCCTCCCTCTCTCTCTCTCTCTCTCTCTCTCTCTCTCTCTCTCTCTGTGTGTGTGTGTGTGTGTGTGTGCACCTGCTGCTCCTGGAAGTCAGAAGAAGGCATTGGATCTCCTGGACTTGGAGTCACGAATAGCGTGAGCTGCCATGTGTGTGCTGGGAACTGTGCCCAGGTCCTTTACAAAAGAACCAAGTGCTGCTAACTGCTGAGACATCTCTCCGTTTATCTTCTGCAATGATTGAACCCAGGGCCTTGTATGGACCAAGAAAGTGCCTTACCACTGTGCTATACCACCAGTCCTCGGAAACTGGGCATTCTATAAGCAAGTCAGATGTTTTGTGAAAAGCTAAGGTTATTACAGGGACAATTAATGAAATGTAGACCAAGTGATCCATTGGGAAACCTCATCAACCATCAGTCCCCAGACTTTTACCTGTCTGGTTAGCTTTAGGGGGTTTTCAGTGTACTCAATTCTGTCCCTCTGAACAGAGGGAAAGCTCCCAGGTGGAGATTAATAATCATTGTCTACCGAATGATCAACAAATTGGACATTATAGGACTATGCTAAAATTTTTAGGGAAAGAGTAAAGGTCACTTTTTTGAACAGATCTCAAGAGTATAAGAATCTGAAGTCACTAGCGAGGTAGTAGTAGTGACTCACGCCTTTAATCCCAGGACTCCGAAGGAGGAGGCAGGTGGATCTCTGAGTTCAAGGCCAGTCTGGTCTACAGAGTGAGTTCCAGGACAGCTAACACTACATGGAGAAGCCCTGTCTCAACTGCCCACCCCCAAATAATCTGAAGTCATAGTCTCAATTTTTCTGTTCTCCTGACCCTGGACTAAACTAAGTATGTATTATGTGCATTGGTCAGAGTTTTGTTGTTTT